ACAGATCAAAACCGGAAATGACACTATGCACCATAACGGACCAAACAGTATAAATTCCAGGCAGAGTAGAATAACACCGGTTCATCGGACACTCCACTGATGACGTCACCTGGCATGGTGACGAAACGTCTGAATGAGAACAAGCCAGCTCGGTGAGCAAGTCAACAACCTCACCCACAATCCGAGCTACAGACCTTTGACAAATCTTTGAACCTTATTTTAAAACAGTGACCCCCTGGTTTTAGCTTCATCCACAAGAGCAAACCATTTCAAGCATTGGTCATAAGACATGACGCATTAGCATTGGAGGAGACATAACTCAATGCCAACAACATGACACTGGCCCTCAGCATTAAAATTCTGAGGATATGTTCTGTAAATTTGTCTTGTCGTTCCTGGAGTTTATAATATTATGTAGCAAGGTGATTTAGGTGTTTCAAAATTTTCAAAGCATTTGATAGATTAAATTGAAAGAGCATACTTTCTCCTGTGTTGGAATTCAAATCAAGGGAGTATAACCTTAACATGAGAGCTTAGCCATTTAGAAAGGAAATCAGGAAGCACTTTTTCTCACCAAGGACAGTGAAAGTTTTGAACTCTGTGTCCTGAAAGGCTGTGGATGGCAATTTAATTGGAACTTTTAAAACTCAGACTGAGAAATTATTTGGCAAGGGTAAGGATTTGATATAGATCAACAATTTGAATCGCCCAAGAGACTGAATGGAAAATCCCTATGCTTATGTTTCTAAATTCTTGAAAAAAATCAGTTGCTTATGGAAAACGGGACATTATTTTGGATTCAGAGATAGTAGGAACTGCAGATGCTGGAGAATCTGAGATAACAAGGGCTGGATGAACATAGCAGGCCAAGAAGCATCAGAGGAGCAGGAAGGCTGACGTTTCGGGCCTAGACCCTTCTTCAGAAAAGGATTCCTTGGATTCCTTTTGGATTCCTTGAATTTGCTGTCAATCGTCATTCCATTTTCCTCTGCTCTGCACCCAAGAAATCTGAGAGGAAATCTGCCCTTTTTCAACCTCTCAGAAGGCATTGAGTTTCTAATCGTACAACAATAAGGACCCCCAAAACAACACCTTCCAAACCTATGATCTCAGCTATCAAAGAAGGACAAGTGTAGCTGATACATAGGAACGCCACTGCCTCCAAGTTTCCCTCTAAGCCACACATCATCCTGACTTTGAAATATATTGCTGTTTCTTCAGTGTCGCTGAGTCAAAATCGTGGAACTCCCTCCCGAACAGCATTGTGGGTCTATCTACACCTCAAGGACTGCAGCAGTTCAAGAGCGTCAGTCATTGCGATCTTTTTTAAGGCAATTAGTGATAAGCAATGAACGGTGGCCCAACCAGTAACATCCACACCAAATGAATGAATAAAAATTGTGCTTTTAGCATGAAAGCATAAATTAAAGCCTTAAAAGAAGCTGTTCGGAGCGGCAACCAAAAGAATGACAGTTGTAAGTTTTACTTGATATCTGCTGATCTACTTCAATACCATTCATCACTCTGTCACCTTTAATCATAAAGCTATGGGTTTAAGCCTGTCCAGAGCTATGATAATGTGATGTAGGCTGATATTTCAGTGCAGTACTGAGGAAGCCACAGAATCATATAACAGGGAAACAAACCCTTTGATCCAACCAGTCCATGCTGAACATAATCCCAATCTAAACTAGTCCCACCTGACTGCTCCTGGCCCATATCTGTCTAAACCTTTCCTATTCATGTGCTTATCCAAATGTCTTTTAAACGTTATAATTGTGTCCACATCCATCACCTCCTCAGGAAGTTCACTCCACAAGCAAACCACCCTTTGTGTAAAAAATTTGCCCCTCTTGTCCTTTTTAAGTTTCACTCCTCTCACCTTAAAAATGTGCCCCCTAGTCTTGAAATTCCCCATCCTAGGGAAAAGACAATTACTATTAACTCTATCTATACCTGTCATTATTTTATAAACTTCAATCAAGTCACCTCTCAACCTCCTTCGCGCCACCAAAGAAGTCCCAGCCTATCCAGCTTTTCTTTATAACTCAAACCTTCCAAACCCAGCAACATCCTTTTAAATCTCTTCTGAACCCTCTCCAGCGTAATAATATCCTTCCTATAACTGGGCAACCAGAAATGGACACAGTATTCCAGAAGAGCCCACAGCAATGTCCTGTATACCTCAACATGACTTCTCAACTCCTGTACTCAAAGGACTGAGCAATGAAGGCGAACATGCCAAATACCTTTTTAACCGCCCTGTCTGTATATGATGCAAACTTCAAAGAATTGTGTACCTGCACCCCTAGGTCCCTCTGTTCTATAACACTACCTAAGGCCCTACCATTAATTGTTGTAACAAAATGCACTACCTCACATTTATCCAGATTGAACTCCATCTGCCATTTTGCAGCCCATTTTGATCCATTTGAGCAAGATGTCTGTAATCTTAGAAAACATTCACTGTCTACTATGCCACCAATTTTGGTGTAATCTGCAAACTTACTAACCATACCTTCTATATTCTCATCCAAATCATTTATATAAATGACAAACAGAAGAGGATCCAGAACTGATCCCTGTGGAACACCACTGATGACAGGCCTCCAGTTCGAAAAGGAACCCGGCACCAGCACACTCTGTCTCCTGCTGTTAAACCAATTACGTATCCAATTGGCAAGCTCACCCTGAATCCCGTGTTACAACTTTACTAATTAGTCTACTGAGTGGAACCTTGTTGAAGGCTTTACTAAAATCAACGTAGACAAGGTCTGCTGTTCTGCCATCATCAATCTTTTTGGTAACTTCCTCAAAAAATTCAGTCAAGTTTGTGGGACACAATTTTCCTCACACAAAACCATGCTAACTATCCCCTAATCAATTTTTGCCTCTCTAAATGTCCATAAATCCTATCCTTTGTAATAACCTCCAACAATTCACCCACAAACGAAGTCAATCTCACAGTTCGAAGTATTGGAAGTGCTGTTGTTTGGATGAGTTTGCAGATGGTTTCAGAGATTCCCTGGGCACTATTTGCTGAAGAGCAGTTAATTTTCTTGGTGTCATGTTCTGCATTAATCCTCCTTTTTAAAAAAAAAGTGTTTTTGTTGGGAGTTGACGTGTAATTTATAATGTTTCTGCAGAGGCTCTGAGATTTAAATCAACTGTTAGATTTTTTTTTAGCTCACCTTTTTAAATGTGACTCAGTATTTGCCTTCTAAAACACCTTTATCTCATTTTTTGTTTTAAGGCATTATAACCTACTTCTTTACAAAAATTGCTGGTCATATCTCCTGACATCTTTGTTACTCAGTAAGATATTTTGCTTTACACTACTATTGTAAAGCATCTTTAATGTAATAAAATGTCTCAAAATGCTATATGCGTGAACTTATTGTTGTTACGTCAGATATGTTTCAGCTGACACTATGACTGCAATTTCAAGTGTTGGTTTTCAACTGCAAACAGAAGCAACTCTGTTGACAAACACTCCACATGTGAGCTTCTTTAGTAACCTCAAGTACATACATTAGTTTTACCCTTAGTGGAAATAGTTAGAGTGATGCTTGAGTACCTTCAGGTGCAAATTTGGTTAAAATCCTTATGAAGAATGAACTTGCACTCATGCAGCATTTTCATATACTCTCAGAACATCCCCTGGTCTTGACCACTAAACAAAAAGACCAATAAGTTTTCAATGCCGCCATTTTTATTAAGTGGTCAGCAAGGTATGCTGACCACTTAATGCAGTCATGAAGCAAGTTTTACAATCAGGAATGAGATAAATGACAGTGTTGGTGATACTGGAGAAGAGAGGCATGTCAGCTAGGACCCTGGAAGTATGCCCATATGTATCTTCACATGACTCCATTCAGTCTTCTGCACGCACAAAAGAGGGCAGACCGACTCTGATTTCATGTCTTATCAAAAGACAATACATCTGGTAATGCAGGACTCCCCGACCACGGCACTGATGTGGCAACCTAGAATATATGCTTGAATCCTGGCATGGAGTTTGAGGTGCATGACCTTCACATTCGTCAGCGTGTGTTACCATCAAACGAAGCTCGTTCTGTTGCATATCTGGTTGAATATCAATGTTGACGGCATATGTTTCATCAAATATGTTTCCCAAAAATAACTGCAGTGACACATTGAATGATGAACGGCGCGAATTGAACTATTTCTCTCACCTTTCATATCGAACTATATTTGCATCACAAATTACTGTAAATGCCAGCAGACATTGTGCAAAATATGGATGCCTCGTTAATGTTGCACTGAGAATCTCCTCAACGAAAAAGATAGAATGAATTAGAATCCAATTAGATCTGATGAGATAAATAAAAAGGGGATCCTATACAAGTAGATTAAGAGTGAATGTGGAAAAAGAGACTGAACGGAAAGTAAGAAAATGTTTATTGAAAAATCCAAGTGGGAAGAGGAGGACATTGTAATTCGGTTGAGTTTGGGATTGCAGAATTGGTTCTTGACTAGTTAATGAATGAATAGCAGGCCAGGTATGTAACATGTTTAAAAAAAATTGCCCATAAATTCTGCCCAAAAATTATTATCTGAAATAAATGTCCCTGTGCAGCTCGGAAATGCAGGGGCTGTTTTATTTTCATTCTCAGTGATCTTAGGGCTGTCATTTTATTGATCCAGATCCAAATTATGTTACCAAGATATTTTATCTGCACTGTATCTCAACAGAGTCCATATTGTCAGATTGACCTAGTTTGTACTAAGCACTTAATATTGTAATAGGTAAATGCTTCTAATTTTAATCACGATGCTGATTGGTTCACTAAAAATCAATGGGTCATTAATTCAAATGCATATCTAATTTCTAGAAATAATGCATGTCTGTTCCTTGGAAAATAACTCAAGTTGTGGTATCAACTAAATCAAAGGTCAAAGCTCTCACAGCTTTTCAGAATTAATGCATCACTAGGAAAATTTACAAGACTTTATTTTTGTGCTACCTCTCTCCCCAGAAATTCCCGAAAGAGGGACTCGCAAATGTGGTTCGAAATGTGTTTGATTTTGATTCCTACAACGGCGAAATGCGTGAAATCCTGATCAGCACCCTGCACAAGCATGGGATACCAATAGGAGCCAAACCTACCAATGTGCAGCTGGCCAAGGAGTAAGCTTAATATGTTAACTTCTAAATGAACTGAAAACTCCACATTCTTGCTCTACTTACTACATGCTGCTAATTCATTGCCAATGATTGAGGGTTGAAAAGATTAAAATAATCTTGGGTCATGCAGCAGAGTGTTAAGTAACCAATTTAACTTGGGCATTTTGAAAATCATCTATAATAAAGAAAAGTATTTGTTTCTTCAATGGGTTTGTGTGTCTGTCCTTGTATCAAAAACTATTTATTGAACTATTGCACTTTGCAATTCTTGGACATTTTTTCTATCATCTCATATAACTAGAAAAATAAGAGCAATGCTGGCATTTTTGACATGAAGACCTATTTGGAGCATAAAGATGTAGTTAGTATTTTCCATTCTCGTGTGGAAATTCTGCAATGAAGGGTTAACTATCTTGCCAGCAATAACGTTACTTATACACCTCTCTGTCTGAATGTCTTAAATAAGTGATCCAGAGTTTAATTTTACTCAAGTGTGCAGCTTTTATCAATGCTACTGTTAAACAAAGAAGAAACAAGTATTTTTCTTGAAATGGATGACAGAGAATTGTGTTAATTATCCTTTGGGTGAAGTTTACTGTAGGATATTTTCCTGTTGCTACCAAACATCTACGATTTCTATTGAGTGAGTAGGCTTTTACATTTGGTGTTCTGACACTTGAAGCTGTCAATTACTGAATCAAATGGTGATGTATAACCTGCTTTCTTTATGTTTGGCATTGATGAGCTTTATGGGGTGATATGCAATGGTGCATCCAGTGTGCTGTTTCATTGTGTTGATGACTGCAGACACTGAGCTTCAGCCCAGTAGGACCAAGCTCAGAACCTTCTAGAGGTTTTTGTGAGAACCAGCAACAGTTAGATGAGTGGGAAGATGAAGTGATCACAGTCAGGGGAGGCAATAGCCTAGTGGTCATTATCACTGAACTGTTAATCCAGGAGAGCCCAATAATGTTCTGGGGACCTGAGTTCAAATCCCGCCACAGCAGATGATGGTGTTTGAGTTCAATAAATATCTGGATGAATCCATTGTCGATTGTTGGAAACACCCATCTGGTTCACTAATGTCCTTTAGGGAAGGAATTGCCATCCTTACCTAGTTTGGCCTACGTGTCACTCCAGACCCACAGCAATGTGGTTAACTCTCAACTGCCCTCTGGGCAGCTAGGATGAGCAATAAATGCGGGTCCGACCCTCATCCTATGAATGAATTTTTAAAGAAGTGCTGTAGATCCTACAATGAGTGTATCTGAGTAGTTTCTCCTTTTCAGAAGCTGATTAATTGACTTTTTATTTTAATGTTGACTAGACTGGACTTCATTTCTCTCCATGCCCATGCATTCTGTAAGCCCAAAATCACCCACTGCCAGCATTGCCAGACCCCCACCCCAGCGCATTAAAAATATATTAGTGATGTGCTCCCATTCTTTATTTTTACCAGTAGCTGATGCAAGAAGCCTGGCATCAGGGCTTTTAACTGATTTTGTCCTGTGATGTGAGCATCAGTGAGATGGGTAATAAATGCTGGTGTAGCCAAAGGAGAAGATGGGGTGAGCTATCTTGAACTGCTACAGTCCATGTGGTATAGGGACACCAACCGCACTGCGAGGGACAGCATTCCAGGATTTTGACCCAGTAACAGTAAATGGACAGTGTATTTCCAAATCAGGATGCTATGTGACTTTGAAGGGAACCTGAAGGTGGTGATGTTTCCATTCATCTGCTGCCCTCCTCCTTCTAAGTGATGGAGGATGCAGGTTTTGAAGGTGCTATTGAAGCAACCTTGGTGATTTTCTGCAATCCACCTTGTAGCTGGTACACACTGCTGCTACTGTCAGTGCGAGGGCTAGTGGACATAAATGCTTCCAGTACATCAACAGAAGATAAATGCTTCGTACCCACGGTATGATTTCAGTGTTAGAGAGTAAAAGACAAAGAACTGAATATCAATGTACATATAATTTATTACACTGGCCATGTGGCTCATTCTGGATGCTATACTACTTTTTTAATTTTCTTCTAACTTTATTTTTTGACAGTTTATTTACTTCATTTGACCTATCTATAAATTCTTCTGTTCCTTTCTCCTCCATGTAACTTCCCACAAATACATCTTTGCTAACCGTCTCAACCACTCCATTCTGTTTTTTTTGTGATATCCAAGACGTATTTATCTTCAAATGCAGTCTTTATTCCCTCCAAGCATTTTCACTCTGATGTAGCTGGTTGAACTAAATATTGTTAAGTTGATGAAATTTCACTTAGAATCCTTTCTACTTCTCAAGATATCTCAAAATGCTTTGGATTCAGTTTTGGTGAGATATTGTATAAGCAATCAGGAATCATCAGGGACTTCCCTTCAGAGAGCACGTTGGGATCCTTTACATCCCCCTGAGAAGGCTGACATTTTTAAAATTCTGTTCGGATAATATGTCAGCACAATGTACTTTTGCTGCATCTTGCAATAGAAGTGGGAATTTAAATCAACTTGAGCTGTTCTGCACACAGCAGAGTTGGAATGATATTGACTGTGTGAATGACCATTTGGTTACATTGAGTGTATTCCAGATACTCTTGTCCACACTTAAAAAACCACTTCTGAAGAAGGGTCTAGGCCCGAAACGTCAGCCTTCCTGCTCCTCTGATGCTGCTTGGCCTGCTGTGTTCATCCAGCTCTACACCTTGTTATCTCAGATTCTCCAGCATCTGCAGTTCCTGCTATCTCTTAATAAACCCTTCATGGCTTTGAGTGATATTTTACTAAATGGCAAGGAAGAGAATTATCCTGCCAAGTTAAAGGGCTTTCAACAAGATCTATTGTCACAGTGGGAGTTAGTACCATATGTGGCTTGAAATCTCCTCTTTACAACATCTTTCTACTGTAATTGGTCTGTCAAGTGTTTGCAGTTTGGCTGAGCTAGTTGACCTCTGTTCTAAGTCCTAGTTTGAATGCACATGTACTTTGGGAAGATTGCCCAGTGAGCTCTCAAGTGAAAAGATGTGTTATTTCTAAACAATGCTGAAGCCACTTCAACTGTACGCATCAAATTTCTCAACTTTCCGCTGAACCTCAAATGAAGACTTAGTACATTTTTCAGCTTGTATAAGTATTGTTTTGAAGAACATGATGGTGAACCTTTAAAAATTTTACAAGCTCTAAAAGAGCAACAGAGGAGCATAAAGAGGCCATTCAGCCCATCGAGCCTGTCCCCCCATTTAATATTATCATGGCTGATGGAACTCTTCAATGCTTTTTACCCACACTAACTCTATATCCATTACACCATTGGTAATCAAAAAATTATGGGACCTAAAGTAAAATGTTTAGTTTAATAGTCCTATGTGAACATCTGTGGAGGGGGAAGGTGATAGGAGGTGTGGTCATTGAATATTTTTAAGGTGGAGGTGGATTCTTGTTTATCAGGGGAATCCAGCGCTATCAGAGTTGCATGGGAATGTAGAATTAGAAATACAAAGAGATCAACAATAATCATATTGAATGGCAGAGAAGGCTTGAGGGGCTGAATAACCTACTCTGCTCCGAGATCATATATTCATAAGTGTATTCGTTTGAATAGCTTCAAGCTGATAAATTTTTAGAGAGAAGTTCATGAAAAGCCTCATTCTTCACCCCCACAAATGTAGTCTACCTGTTTGATACAAGTTGAAAGTTCAAACCAGAGACGAGCAAGATATTAACCGCCCATTTGAAAGGGTTAAACAGAGTGAGGAATATGGGCCATTTTCAGCTGCAGTTGTAAGTGAAACAGCAAAAGAGTTAATTAGTGAACCAGCCAGTTGAATGCTTGTACCTGTAGAAGATAAACCTCTGCGGTTAACTTGCGAAGGATCCTATCCTTGCTGTAGACTGTGCTTAGCTGGGTACCTGAGCTAGCCATTTAGGGTTATAACCTTTCTCCATCTACACTGGGGCAAAACCACATTGACTTTGACCCCTCACATAACACGAAACAACATGCTGTTAAAAGCACACTGTCTGGAGATGAGACCAGTTGTAAATCGTTGGCTTTCTTATTAAAAAGTGAGGAAATATACCCAAAGGTTTGATATAGAATGCAATTTGTACTCATTTAAAAAAAAAATCTGTGGTGCAATGAGGATTTTTCGAAATAAGTTAGGTGAGATTTAAAATCTGACAACAAAAAATTAATCTCTGTTGAACAAAACAAAAATCTCCAAGTTAGAACTTACTCTATTGTTATAAATTGAAATGATTTCTGGTTGCAGAGTGCCACCTGCAGGCTATCTACGGCACCTGCAAACGGCCATACTTTATTCTCATTCAATCATTGCAGCACAGCTATGCCGGTTCTACTTGGGGCGATCCAGTCTTTCACTGCATTCATTTGCAAACGTGAAATTTCAAATTGAAACTAACCATATTTCTATATTAATATCAGCCAGGTTTGGTATTCAGTAGAACATTAGGGGATGCTCAGTGAAATCCTTTCAACAACAACTTGGAATTGTGTAGCTGAGATCAGTCACTCAACAAGAATAGAGAGTTAGCAGAGACCAAAGAGAATTTGAGCCATGAGTTCTTGATTTAGGTTTTCCAAAAGAGAAAAAGAGGCATAGGTATAGTCAGGCTGCATGCCAGACTGGAGAAAAGAATACAGGTCAGCGGCCCAGATGTTGGGTTAAAATATCCACTGAAGGCCCAGCACAATGGGTGAGGTCTTCCACTGTTTGATGCAGATGAAGGAGGTTGATGGTGTGAGAAGAATACTTGGAATTTTAATGTAAGACTAAAGGGACAAGTGTTTTTTTTTAATCAAATTACAAAGTTTGTTTTTAGATTTTATTGTCATGTGCACTCAAGCACAGGAGCACAGTGAAAAGTGTATAACGTTGCCACACATGGTGCCATCTTAAGTAACAAGGTACCTAGCACTCCTTTAAAACTGTTTCTTATTCTGATTGGTATGGACTCACTGGTTGGGCCAGCATTTATTGTCGATCTCTAATTGTCCTTGAGAAGGTGGTGGCAAGCTGCTGCCTTGGACCTTATTTTTTTTTAATTCACTGATTGGACATGACCATGGACATTGCTGGCTGGCCTGCACTTTAATGTCCATCCCTCATTGTCCTTGAGAAGGTGATCGTAAACTGCCTTCTTGAACCTCTTCAGTCCATGTGAGTACGTTGCACTTACAATGCTCTATGGAAAGGAGTTCCAGGATTTTGATCGAGCAGCAGAAATTGTGCAATTGAACAATCTTGGCCAACAGAAGAATGAGAGATGGTGCAAAGGACAGTAGAGATTTTGCAGACTGGGAGAGATAATACGAACTGCAAAGGTGTACACAAAGTAATAAGAGCTGCAGAAAAGCAATGTAAGAACAAAATTATGAGGGACGTTAAGAGTAACCTATTGTCTTGTGTTTACTTAACATAAACTTACCACTCAGTTGGAAAGTGGACATAGGTTCTATTTATTTGAAGATCTAATATAGATTGCCCATTTTGCAGATTTATTATAGAAATTACTGCTGTTACAGGAAAACACGGCTACACATAACTCTACATTTTGTAAGCTAGACTGATGAAGAGTGCTAATCCACTGTCATGGCAGATAGTGAAATTTATTCAATAAAAATCTAGATTAAAAAAGCTAGCCTGATGGCAACCACATAATGATTGTCGTTTTAATAAAAAAAAACGCATCTCATTCATTAATGGCCTTTAGGTAAGGAAATCTTCTATCCTTACCTGGTCTGGCCTACATGTGACTTGACTCACATGTCTCTTACCTGTCCTCTGGGCAATTGGGAATGGGCAATAAATGCTGGCCTAGACAGTGACACTCTCAACCCATGAATGATTTTTTAAAAAGTTGCATGTTTTACATCCTTGCTACTTGTTTCATTAGCATTTTCCCTCTTAAAATGATATCACAAGTTAAATGTGTATCATGATGGGAAGCATTCTAGATTTATAGCAAAATAAAAATTGTGATGGAGTTATATTTAGAATAAAGAATGACAAATCTTCAAGACCTCATAATATGATTATGAGCAGCAGTTAGTCTCATTAACCTCCTAAAGCTTGTTCCGACAATTAATAAGATCCTACCGATTATCTACCTCAACTGCACTCCATCCATCCATTCCTGTGACCCTTAATTCCCACATATCTACTCATCGCTGTCTAAATATACTCAACAACTGAGCATCCACACCTCTGGGATATTGAATTCCAAAGATTCACAGTCTTCTAAATGAAGAAATATCTCCTCATGTCGGTCCTAAATGGCCAACCAATTATCCTAAAACTGAATCTTAAGTGTAAATTCTCCAGCCAGCAGAAACTGGCCTAATAATATTTTGAATATAGCATTGTTTTTCTCTCTCCTCTCAAGGCTTGTAAGAATTTTATGCATTTCTATGAGATCATCTGTCATTCTTTGAAACTACACAGAACATTATTTCAATAGGTCTTCCTTACTTTTATACTTTAGTTCTATCGTGGTAAAGGCCAACATACCATTTTTTTTCCTAATTGTTTCCTGTGTTTGCATGTAATCTTTCTGAAATTTATAAACAAGGACACCTATTTCGTCTGAAAATCCACATCAATCCACCTCTTAACTTTTATATATAAAAAAGTTCCGATTTTCCTATAAGCAAGAATAATTTTTCACTTCCCACATTACACTAAACCTAACATCACCTTACCCACTCATCTAACCCATCTATATACCCTTGTAGTGTCTTTGCATCACCTTTACTTTCTTCCCTAGTTCTGTTTTGTCAGCAAGCTATTTATTGCACTCAGAGACACCCTCATCCAAGGTATTGATATTCTAAATAACTGATCCCTGTGATTTCCAGCTAGAGTTGAAAAAGATGTAGGTGAAAAATTTGCAAATACAAAAATGCTGTTCTTCCAAAATGCCCAACTTCTAAGATTGCTTCCTCAAATTGACACAATTGCCAAGAATATTCCATTTTTTAACAAAAGTTATCAATTCATTGCCAATTGACAAATGTAGTTGGATCCAGCAGTGGAAACACTAGTACAGTCAGCTAGTGTGTTCTGCTGCTAAACATAAGGTTGTTGGTTCAAGCCCACCCAGAGACAAACGTGTTAATTGTCCAATTGATTTCAGCCAGAATAATTTTGGAGGGGCCTTGCAGCACAGTGATAATATTCCTTATCTCTGGGACAGAGGAATTGAGTTTCAAGTCCCATTGGCCCTAAAGATGTATGATAACATGTTGATGAGATTGATTAAAAATGACATCAATCTCATTAGTCTTGGTCTGGATTTGAACCCTTGCAAAAACTGTGCTCCTGAATGTCTAACAGAGCGATGGAGTGCAAGCCCAAAGATTATCGTACTGTGATGTGAAACACTGACAATCTTGGGACTGTCAGTCATGACCTTGCATTTCAGATGTTTAGAATTTATTTCATTTGTTGCAGATGAATTGTTTCTTTAAATTTATTAAATGGAATTTGGAATGCAGCCTATGACTTTATCATTATCATGCTTAACGTGTCTTCTCTCCTGTTATGGCTGGAGATTTTAACCTAACTCTTAGTATCAGGTGGAGAAGTTTGGTATGAGTGTTTTCGCTCAGTAACATGGACTGCAGTAATATGTACCTACATTTTTATGTTTTGTGTTTCAAAACTGCCCATAATCAATATTTCATATGTCTTCAGCTCTCTCCCTCTAAATTTGTTAATATCGCAGCCAGTTTAATCCCACTGGAACACTTGTTCTCCTTTAATATTTCTCTTTTCCAAGCAATTCCTTTTAGAGGAATTCAGATCTGGAGTGTTCTACATCTGTTATCTAGGATGAGTGATGTTAGCAGTAGAGCAGAGAAGTAGAACATTTCCACACTTGAAGTAGTGAATTCTGTTTCTGTCCAAAACCAATTGGTCTTACGGTTGCTGTACTGCTTGAGCACTGCACTGTGGCAGATGTCATGTTTCAGATGAGACATTAAATGAGGTCTTGTCTGTCCTCTTGGCTGGATGCAGATGATCCTGTGGTACTATTCAGAAAGAGAGCAAGATAGCTTTCTCCAGTGTCATTTCAACCAATGCAGCAACCATCTGGTCATTTACCACAATGTTTTCTACATTGCTTAGTTCGCTTACTGTGAAACATTGGGCCACCCTCAAGTTATCGGAGTGCTTTTAGTATAAGTTGATTACTTCTACACCTCCCTCCAGCCTACACCAGCTTACCTCTTTCCTTCCTTCCCTCCTGCTCCATTAGAATTTGTGTCTGTTGTGTACAAAGTAACAATAGCTGTGCTTGTGGTTTCATCAGTGAACTCTTCACTGTACTGAACCTTTGAAGGGATGTTTTGGTTTACTGTGAAGTTATGATGCTCTAATTTGTAAATGTCTGACAGGTTGCCTTTGCCAGACTGTAAGTTAGCCAGCCACTGGACTTTTAACCAACTGGAAAGCACACGGTGGAAACTTACTATAAAGACTCAGCAGACAGCTGTAAAGGTTTGAGCTCCTTTATTTCTCTGATAACATACAAATTTGAAAAATCAGAAAGGTGGTGCTACTAAATTGAAGTGAATTGCTATTTTTTTTCCTAAATATTTGTATCTTTACAACTCAGTGGAGTGGCAAGCTGGAACTTCAGCCCCACTATGCTCATAGTCAATGAAAATGTGAAAATTTAATGAAACCACCAAATGAAACCACTATCAACTTGTCAAGACCAACTCAGTCAGCAATACCCACATCCTACGAATAAATTTTTAAATACTGCCCAATTTTACCACAGTATCTAATTCAGCTTATAAAAATAATCACATGGGAGTTTTCATTAAGCAGAAAATCATTGTAATCAAACTGGCTTTATCCATTGGCAAGAAAGAAACATGAATTGCTAAGCTGTTAAGTGCTTCGCTACAGGCCTGGTGGCCAGGACCTTCGCCAAGCTGCCACACTGGAATAACAGTCACCACTCTTTGGCACCATCTTGCCTCCATTGATGCCTCACCTCTATGAGTCCTTGCAGGACCTCCCCAATACAGCTGCCACCGGGTACCGCACCAGCCCAAACTCAAGTCTGTTGCTGCCATTTGTCTGCTTTGGGTCCACCTCACCAATGCTGCAGGGTCCCATACTAGGCATAAAACTATTCCCCTTTTGTCCTCTTTTCCTATTTGACAAGGGAATTTGCAGCTGTTCCCAGAAAAATGTTGAGTGAGGACACCTATCAGGAGATTCTCTGTTACTTCTCCACACAGGAGGGAGAGAAAGAGACTTAGCCTTTTTTTCTCCCTGGATGTTTCTGCAGTATTGTTCACACAAGTCTATAACCACTTGCCCAGGAACCAGTCCAGTCATTGTTACAATGCTGAGCTGTCCTCAGCCAAAAGTAACTTGTCAATTGAATAACCAAACAAAGGACTGATGCTGATCAAAATTGCCCTTAACACACATGCACATGGAGTTGATGTGTGAAGCTTCGTCCTCCATTGCATGTTTAATGCAACATTGTAGATACAACTTCCAGATTAAGGAGTTGCACATTTAAGACAGATATAAGGTGGAAATACTTCTGTCAGAGAATAGTAAATCTGTGGAATTCTTTACCTGTAGAGGCTTGATAATTAAGTATGTTAAGACTGCAATAGACATTTTTCATCAGTGATGGAATCAAAGGTTATGGGAAAAGACAAGAAACTGGAGTTGACGATTAGCAGATCAGACATGATCTCATTGAATGGGGGAGCAGACTTGATGGGCTGAATGGTCTACTTCTGCTCCTCTGTCTTATGTCTGTAACTTGCAATGAGTTTCTGTAACTCACTTTTAAGACTGCAACATCTTCTTAAACAACATCAATTTACTTGACTCATGCATTCTGGAGGTTGTTGTGCCTGTATTGTTCACACACAGGTTGTCCACTTATCCAGGAGCCATTCAGAGATTTGTTGTTATTCCTATGATTCCTGGCATCTACAATTAGTCCTAATCACATGAACCGATCAGCAATCTGCCTCTGAGTAAAGTTTGCTATGCACACATCCACAATGCAGTGGCATCGTACGTGTTCTCCCGCACTGCTTGAATGAAGCAGTAGTGTAAACAAAACTCACAATGAGGTTCAGTAACTTGATTTTAAAAGTGCAGCAACTCCTTCAACAGTCCTTGGTTTAAAGCAATCCTTTTCCCATTTTGCTTCACAATCCAAGATATCTGTCATTTGAGAAAATAACAAATTCGGTGGAATGTAAAAAGGAAATCTAGGCCTTACCTACAGGGAGAAAGCACTGCACACCACCCTCCATTAGTCATCCCTACTTGGTTAGGCAATGGTGTTTTGAAACCTTGAATTTTGTCAGATATATAAGTAGCTTATTATTTTGACAATTTTGAATGGATGCTGAATCAAATCTTCAGTATTGTGTTTGGCTTTGAATGGGACTTATGCATCTTTCTTGTACTCTTAGGGTCCAGTGTACCTGAAAGTTCAAGGCCATCCATTAGAACGGCATGAGTCAAGGGGCTTCAGCTTCACTGAGCAACAAGCCCATTGGAGAATTCCACTAAATGAAGTGAATATTGTTTGTGATGTCGTCACAGTCAAAGGTAATACCCTGTCAGAGACATACATTTCCTTACTGGGGGAAATAGCATCTTGTTCGAGTCAGTGTTGATCCACGTGATTCATGTCATTTGTTTTCAGATTTCTTTCTGAACCACAGGGCTACGAGGGCTGTATCTTTGACGCAGAATCGATCAGAGTTGAAGCTGGAAGGGATTAGCAAAGTGAAGCAGCTGATTGCTCCCCAGAAAGTACAATTTAATGAACAAGTTAGGAACAAGCAGAAGCAGACTACAGAGAGTCTAAAACTTGTCGAATCTGTTAACAGAAAGCAATATTTGGAATAATTGGTCCAAAATGCAGTTGCAGTGTTTCTAAAAAAAGATGTTTAAGAGCAAAGAATTGCGTTTATATAGAACCTTGCATACTTTCATGACTTTGCAAAGTGCTTACAGCCAATGAAGTACTTTTGCCATGTTAGAATCCCAGCAACCATTTTACACGGAATACTAATGAACCAAACAATTTATTTACATTTTGCAATAATCCCCTCTCTGCCCATTCTAAATGGCCAGTTTTTCTCAGATCTCATCAGAACAGAGCTCAACAAGTGTCCAGGTGGAATTGATTCAGTAAAGCGGCATGGTGGCTCAGCAGTTCGCACTGCTGCATCACAGCACCAAGGACCCACGTTCGATTCCACCCTTGGGCGACTGTCTGTGTGAAGTTTGCACATTCTCCCCGTGTCTGCATGAGCTTCCGCCAGGTGCTCCACTTTCCTCCCACAGTCCAAAGATGTGCAGATTAAGAGAATTGGCCATGCTAAATTGCACACAGTGTCCAGGGATGTGTAAGTTAGGTGGATTAGCCATGGGAAATGCAGGGTTACAGGGAAAGGGTAGGGGGATAGGTCTGGGTGGGATGCTGTTTAGAGGGCCGGTGTGACTTCGGCCAAATGGCCTGTTTCCACACTGTAGAGATTCTATCGTTCAGTAAAGTTGAGAAACCAACAGTGTTTGCAGAAGAGAAAGGAGATTTTTACCATGTCTTTATCATCTGCTTTTGTTAAATTTCTGGTACAGAACACAGCTGGTCAGTCATTCGATCTTTCGGTCTGTTAACATCAGTGGAGGAAAATCTGCGAAGATATTGCCTACAGCCCTCCATAAGTTGTCAATATAGCAAAAACCAGGTTCCTAGCAGGAATCTCTAAACACCACCTCAGTGATTCCTGCTCTTGGGTCCTACACTGAGCTCACTATTGGTATGAGGTGCATGGCAGGCTGGTTCTACTGTCAACTGTGGCATCAATTCATGGTCAATTAACCATCTGATGCCCACAGTTTGGACACGGCCAAGGATAGTGGGCAAAGCTCTAGAGAGCATCAAGTGTGCACAAAGCCTGCACCATTTACTTCCGCAAGGAGAACTGAGTAGGGAAAGCAAGCCCAAGAGTAAAATAATGACCATTATTAAGGAAAAATATTCCACACTGGTATATTGCTTTTAATATAGCTCATCCCAAAGTATTTTACAATTTGTTGGATTTTTTTTCAAGTGTAGTCACTGCTTTAAAGTTGGAAAATCAGCAGCCAATTTGCATATAGCAAACCCCGACAAACAGCAATATGATAAATGACCAAATAAACTGTTTTTTGTGATATTGGTTGAAGAACAAATATCAGCCTAGGCACGTTCCCAATTCTTCTTTGAATGACACAAATGATTATTTTACATGCACTGAGAAGACTTGGAGCCTTGCATTAATATCTCATCTGGAACTCAGCCATTCTGACAGTGCAGCTCTCTCTCCATGCTGCATTGGAATGCCAGCCTGAGTTTTGTGCTCAAATCTCGGAATAGAACTTTGAAACCACCACCTTCTTATCCAGATATGGGTGCTACCAGCTGAACCGTGGCTAGCAGCAAGCTCATGTTGCATTTAATCTCTAACTGTTCAGCTTCAATTTGGGAACAGTTGATTCACTAACACTGGGATTCTGCCACTGAATGTAAGAAAACTAGCTCAGTATGTACCCTTCATGTGGAGGAGCACTGTGACTTCTCCAACCTGGCACCTTCATACAGTTGACTGAGCTGAAGGAGGATTTAAACCTTCTGTGCAATCTGTGGTCAAGACAAGCTCACACAGCCTATTTGTGATTTGGAGATGAGCCAGGGTGGAATGAGGCAGAGCAATTTGGAGTTTGAAATCCCATCCTTTATTTCCAGTGACAGGCAGGTAGGAGTAGGAAACTTTGTACATACAGCGAGAAGTAAATTTTGCAGCCACCCAGGTTTGACTAATTTGAGTTTGGCTTGTCTAGGTCTTTGAAGATTATATCCATTGACGCAACTATTGATCTCATGCAGGTGAAGCCAAAGACTCCATTTATGTAGCAACTTGCAATCCGGTCTCTCTGTACTCGATGACCATGCCTGGCAACACCATATACTGCATGGATCTATATGACATCTTCCCCAGGAATTCTGGTGGAGTCTGGCAACCTTTTGTGACGGTGGCTCCACTGGATCAACCTCTCCATGACCAGGTTGTGCTTCATGAGGAGCAGGTATTTGAAGTTCTTGGGTGACTTTTACCAGCTATTTATCTTGATACAGTGATTAAATGAATAGATTACTGCAGAAATATAGAAAATTTATAACACAGAAACAAGTTGCTTGACCTGACCAAGCCATCACTATAATTTCCACTTGACCAAATATCCCTAATCACTAAAACCCATTTATTCATTCACTTGTCCTACTTCACCTTGAGTGGTGACACCATTTTTGCCTCAGCTACTAACTGTCAAAATGAATGTCTCATTCTCACATTTCACTGTAAAGATGTTGCTGCTGCTGTTTGTATCAGTCAGGGAACTCATATTCTGTGAGGTCCACCTAGCTGACCTTGTTACGATCACTGCAGAAGCATCCTCTAACTGCTTGAATACAGAATCCATTACAGCTCCTGAATCTGACTTCAAGTTTTCAACACCTTCACTTCAAAAAGAGAATAGTCAAGCAAGCCAGAATTGTGACGATAGTAAAGACATATCTAATTTTCATCTTCATAGAATCATAGAATCTCTACAATGTGGAAACAGGCCATTCGGCGCAACAGGTCCACACTGCCCCTCCAAAGAGCATCCCATCGAGACCCATTTCCCTACCCTTTCCCTGTAACCTGGCATTTTCCATGTCTAATCCACCTAATTTACACACCCCGGATGCTACGGGCAATTAAGCATGGCCAATCCACCTAACCTGCGCATCTTTGGACTGCGGGAGGAAACCAGATCAGCCGGAGGAAACCCACACAGACATGGGGAGAATGGGCAAACTCTACACAGACAGTCGCCCAGGGGTGAAATTGAACTTGGGTCCTGATGCTGTGAGGCAGCAGTACTAACCACTGAGTCACTGTGCTGCCCCATTTTTTTTCTGTGAAGAATGCACAAATATATTATTCAATAAATACAAATGTAACTGCTTTCCTTTGTTCCTTTAAATCCTTGTATCTGTGTTTTAGCTAATAACGTTATCACTGTTCATCTGAATAATATTTTCCACCATGGGATTTTTCATTGTTGTACTCAACTCTAGTACGTTGAAACTAGTGTCTGGCCTTATTTGGGTGTACAGCCAGTTCAGCTGTTCAATGAGAGTTTGCAGGTCTTCCATTTAAGTTTTGGAAACCGTTGCATCTTTTCCTGAGGGCCCTACTTTAACTAGTAGCAATGGGACTAAAATTTTCCAAATAAGGTTGTAGATGCAAAGTGACGCTTGACCCTTTCTGCCGGATTTCCAATCCAATGTACTTAAAAGTCCTAGAAGCCTGACTTTCCATTTTGAATTCTGTTTTCAACCCAATTAGGACAATGTTTCCAATTCACTGCTCCCATCCAAAAAAAATCGTTTATGTTCATCCTTTCCTCAAAGTTATGTCCTTCATCCCAGAAAAAATGAACTTTCTCTGAACTGCTTCTGATGCAATTATATCATTTATTGCAGATACAAAAATTGCATGCAGTACTCCAAATGTAGTCTCAACATTGCCTGGTACAGCTACAGCAAAATCTCCCCACCCTTATATTCTATTCCCTTACAATAAAGAATATCCACTTTCCTAATCATTTGTCACACCTACCCTACAGTGTTAGCCTTGGAGTTTTGGTCAGGCACCCTCAAGAGTGTTTGCGTCTAGAGGGCCCAGACATGCTGAGTATATCTTTAATTAGCTGTGTCTTTCTAAATCTTGGTCCTGCCATTTAACAGATGTAGCTGAACACTGTATTCCACTGCTCCGTCTATCCAGGTAGGCGATGGCCTAGTGGTATTAATCTGGGGCCTGGGTGGTTTGAATTTTGCTGTTGGCAGATGGGATTTGAATTCAATAATAGTCTGGAAATAAGAGCCTAATGATGATCATGAAACCATTGCCGATTGTAAGGGAAAAACCCATCTGGTTCATTAATGTCCATTCGTGCCATTAGGGCAGGAACTCTGTCATCCTTACATGGCCTGTGACAGCAAAGGGGTTGACTCTCAAATGCCTCTGGGCATTAAGGACGGCAATAAATGGTAGTCCAGCTAGTGGCACCCACATCCATGAATGAATTAAAACCTCTTGTCAGGACCCAATGCTATCCAAACATTCAATCTTAACACTGAATGAGAGTTTCCTGTGAAGGTTATTATGGATCTTTTCATATCTGAGGCTGGAGGAGTGCACTGTCACTCTGGTCCCACTACTACAAAGGTCGCAACATAAAATGTAGTTTTTTTTTCTGAGATGACCAAGTTACCAACAAAATACCTTACCTATATCAAGATCTATCAACCAGGCTTCTTATTAAATACAATTATTATTAAAGGATAACTTATTCAATGAAGATGCAGGAATTGCATAACGTACCCAGTCAGTGACATAGCAGTATAAATACTTCTCCCTCTAAATATCCCCTAAACACACTGTGGGAGCGTTTTTCCCGACCTGGAGGGACTGAGGAGGCAGGCAGGATTCAGGCATGTGGAAGACTTTTATTCAAGCAGAAACTGGTTTATGCAGGGAGAGGACCAAAGGATCTTCCCTGAATCTAGCTTCAAAAGACAGGTCAATGACACACCCTCTGCTTTTACAAAGAAGTACAGCATTTTTATACATTTTGAGTTACAGTAATCAAATACAACGTAGTCATTGTCCTTGCCCTTAGTTCAAACACCCAATCCTGTGGGACACCAAATCAATGACAGACACTTCCATAGACAGCCCCAGGTTCCCATAATCTTATGTGTTATATAGACATTGTAATCGCTAGGCCTTGGGATCTTCCTATGCATTCTATTCATTCGCATTCCAAAAGTTTAATGGCTGTACTCCTTTCTCGGGTCTTTCTCAAGCTTGTCTATCTGTAAGGACAGCTCAAATTCTGTTAACCATTGTGTTTTGGTGCTGTTTTTTATCACATTCAGTTACTCCTTTTATTTTCCCACTGTCCCAATTACATTATGTAAAAATTACATTATGTAAAGTCAGTTAGTTTTAACTAATTACTATAAGGTTAACTTCTGTTATAAAGTTAACGATAAGTGTAACATCATACAGCTACTTTTACAGTCAGCATTTTGTAATTTATAGGCTGTGATCAATCTATCTTGTTCAGGACATACAAGAAGGGGTCTTCTAAGGCTAGTTAATCTTTACATCTAAGCTTAAATGTTTTTTAAGGCTTATATTATATCCTGGTTATGTATTGAAGCCAACTTCTGTGACTAGAGCATTTTTAGGTAGAAACTATTTAATGTTGCTGGTAGCTTCAAAGAGGCAATTATTTACTACAAAATAACTTTAGCTGTTAGCCTTGAAGCTGCTTGAGGACCTAATCCAGCACCTGACATTATTCATTTACTGGGACAATCATCCTTTCATGAATAAAGCTGGAATTGGTCATTTATCTGTCCTTAAGGCATCCTTTCATCAGAACTGTGTCGGATGGGAACATACAGCATCCTTTACTGACCTTCTAGCAGTTCTGTTCAAAGGTACCATTGTATTTCAGTGTGTGAGCAGGCTGCTTAGTTTTGCTCAGCTTCTGTCTGCCATCTTGTAAGCAGGTATGGGCAGCTTAGTGTGTTCATACAAGCCACCTTAATAGCCAGGTACAGGTCACCCCTGCGCGCGCGCACACACACACACACACACACACACACACACACACACACACACACACAGAAAAGAGAAAATAAACAGATTTCTTTGCAATGATTGGCTTTCTGAAATGCTGGCCAATGAGTTATTCTTGAAAACCAAAAGAATAAAGCAGAGAATGTTCCAGAGTTTATTGCTGTGATGTGGTCACCTCACTAATACATGGTTATCTCCTTCACAGAGTAATGTGATCCTGCTATTGAATTTGACCAATGGTGCAGTCAGTCGTATCATCTCTGGAGAAGAACGGCAATCCCCCAAGAAAGCGTACTGGTGGGCGAATAGAGATGGCAGGGTAAGCATCCAGTTTAATCCAAAATACATGATTTTGAATCTTTTTGTAGTCTTTTAAACTGTTTGATCTATGAATTAAGGAACATTGTTCTTCTAATGATGTTATGGCATGAATGGATTTTGTCCAGGATAATGAAATACAAGTAAAGCCAGCAATGCTTCCCTCCTCAATGGCAATGACAGACCAGGTCATCTCTGATCATTACTTTGTAGCACATTCTCCTCCCGAAGCTGCTTGTTTCCGGATCTGTAAAACTGAACTATACTACTATAGGGAGGTGGTGGCACTGTGGTCATATCGTGGATTTATAATCCTGAATCTCAGACAAATATCTTGCGGACATGTGTTCCGATTCCACCATCGCAGGTACTGAGGTTTCTTTTCACAACAACATGTAAGTTTCCCCATTACTGTGGTGGGATTTGAACTCCTGTGTCTGGATCATTAAGTCTTTGGATTACTAGCCCAGTAATATAGCCGCATGCTACTGGAACACTGGGTAGACAGGTTTAGCCATTCACTACCTGGCTGGACCACACAAAGCACTACTGGTTTACTTCTCATCTGCCGAAACTGCTCACTATCCAGGGTTATTCTGAATGCAAAGTTAATTCCTGCTTTCTGCTTCTTCCTGCAAAAGTACATCTGAAACCCTCTGCCCTATCTCCTCCACCCTCACTTCCAACAAAAAGTGTGAGACACTCATGGTGGTCTTTGTAACTAAGATTGAGACCATCTGATCAGCTCCCTCCCTTCTTCCCCCAGCTCACTAGTCGAAAGTCCCTTGAACACTCCCTACTTGCCCAACCCTGAATTCATATCTTTCTCTGGTCTATCTCTTTTCATCTATCCCCTTAAAAACATAAACTCATACAACATAGAAGAGCCTCTTCAGGCGATTGAGTCTGTACTGCCGAAAATATACTGCTACCTACGCTAGTCCCAATTTCCCACTCTAGGCCTTGAATGTTATGATACTTGAAGTGCTCATCCAAGTACTGTTCAAAGGTTGTGAAGTTTCTTGCCTCAACTACCCTCCCAGGCAGGTCATTCCAGATCCCCCACCATCCTCTGGGTGAGAAAGCAACTCCTCAGATTCCCTCTACACCTCCTGCCTTTCACTTTAAAAGTTGTTATTGACCCTTTTCTTTGAACTCATCTTGCACGAGACCGACGTCCTGCTCCCATCAAACAAAAAAACCGAAAGAACTGTGGGTACTGGAAATCAGAAAGAAAAACAGAAATAGCTGGAAAAGCCCAACAGGTCTGGCAACATCTATGGAGAGGAAGCAGAGTTAACCCAGTTCTGAAGAAGGGCCCCGAATCCAAAACATTCTCTCTGCCATCTCTCCGCAAATCCTGCCGGACCTGCTGAGTTTTTCCAGCAATTCCTGTTTTTGTTCCTGCTCCCATCATCTTGCTCCCACAAAACCACTGTCCAACCTCCCTTCCCTGGTTAATAGTACTGTTTCTTGACACTGATTCTGTCTCCTTCAAACCATCCACCAACATTCCTGTCATCAAAACACTATTCTTGACCCTTCCATTCTTGCAAGTATGGTCAAAGAACTAAGCTCTTAAGGACTACTTTAAGGAGGAGAGACGTTTAAGGAGAAATTTCAGAATAACAGTGAAAGCATGCCTGAACGTTGTCAGGAAGAGCAGATGGCAGGAGAGAGGGGGATGTGGAAGTCAAGGACTCACAAAGAGAAAGATTGAACAGTTTATGATTGATTAAACCTTGGAGGCCTTGTTACATGAAGCAAAAAATGTTATTTCCATTATCCTTTAAAAAGTGACCTAATTGGTGCAATTTTCCTGTTCTATTTCTCAGACAATAGAAAATCATCTTCCTTAAATTTCAGTCCAATTCCCTTTAAAAGTACTTCTAATTGGGATTTTATTTTTGCTAACTCATATGTTTTGGGTGTTGCTGGCTGAGCCAGCATTTATTGCCCACCCCAAGTTGCCATTGAGAAGGTAGGAGTGAGCAGCCTTCTTCAACTGCTGCATTCCATTTTGAATAGGTTGACACTCAATGCTGTTAAAGAGGGAATTCCAGGAAATGTGACCCAGCAACAATGAAGGAACAGTGAAATGTTTCATAGTCAGAAGATTGCTGCGAATGCTTAAGCCTCATATTTTACATTGATATGTTGTGCTCTTCCGTCATTAAGGTTGGGAATATTTTTGGAGCCTCTTCCTCCAGTGAGTTGTTCAATTGTCCGTCACCATTCACGACTGGGTGTGGCAAGACTGTAGAACTTAGATCTGATCCGTTGTTTGTGGGATCGCTTATCTCTGTCTTTCACTTGTTGCTCTATGCTTTTTGGCGCATAAGTAATCCTGTTTGGTAGTCCTAGCAAAACTGTAGTAAATGGGAATTGGGGGAATGCTATCTGCTGGTTTGAGTCATACCTAGCACACAGGAAGATGGTTGGGCTTGTTGGAAGTCAGTCATCTCAGCTCCAGGATATATCTGCAGGAGTTCTTCCGGATAGTGTCGTGGGCCTATCAATCTTGAATTTCATCTCTAACAACGTCTGGATAAAACTATTCTTGTTCACATCTCCCCTTGCTCTTCTGGTGTTGATTTTAAGTTTAGATTAATTATCACTCACTCACCAGTAGAAACAGGATTAACCTTTCAGGGTTTATACAGCTGTATGGACGAAAGGTGAAGAATTGTATCTCCATAGTGGTAATATTTTTAACCAAGACAGTTACATGATTTGTTAACTTTCCTTTTACAGGATGGTTACAAAATGTGCAGAGAATTTTCACACAAAAATTGGCTGGTGTTCTACAAGAAACAAGGGTAAGAATTTATTTATCTTCAATCAGATTGAATTTTTCTTTAAAATAAGTTTTCTTGTTTTGTTAGCAAGCTTGCATTTTTATTCAGAACTATGGCCATGTGTATCAGGTCTGTGTACTCGACCTCTACCTGTACTTATCTTGGAAACTCACCTTGAGTTGTAAGTGCAGTATCTTGTATGATCGTGAACAACAAGATTGAGAGAGGTCTGGGTTCACTCCGTGCAGGCTTACTAAGTGATTGAATAAATAAATGTAACTAGATGACGACATTGGGACCTGGTTATTCATATTAGACCGGAGATGGGAATCAGCAATGTTTGCAATTGTCCCTGCAGTAAAATATCCAAAAGACGTGACAAAATAAACCAAAACCTTTTCAATCTTTGTTACTGAACGTGGGTGTTTTCACCTCTCCTATTCCGTTTGTCTATAAACAATATATGTCAAGAAAGGATAGATTTCAACAAAACTTGGCACAAATAGGGTATGGCCAAGAAGAACTAGTTAATTTATGACAAAGATAAAGATTTGGATGCACTTCTTGGAATTTATAAAAGATCTGCTAACATTAGGAGATAGGGTAAATTAACTTTTTTGTCATGTGTTAATTTAGAATATTATTGATTGTCACAATCGTCAAAATGTAATCAAAATTTTCAGAGCAGGTCGTTGAATGTGGACAAGTGTGATAGAAGCTCTAAATGAGAAGATGTATTTTTTCAGCTTTGCAGTTCTAGAGCATCAGCCAGCCATGGAAAAGTGTCAAGATTCTGAAGAAGAGTCTTTGCTTTATTCACTGGTGAAGTGCAGGTGTCGCTGGCTGGCCAGCACTTTTATTGCTCATCCATTGTTGTCCTTGAGAAGGTGGTGGTGAACTGCCTTTGTCCATGTTTGCACCAAGGCTGAGTGGCCCTATCGAAACCCATCTAGGCTTTGCTGAACAGGAGCTGCTTGATAGCACTGTTGATGCTGCTTTCCATCACTATACTGATGATGGAGAGTAGATTAATGAGGCCAGGTTGGATTTGTCCTGCTTTTTATGTACAGGGTATACCTGGGTAATTTTCCACATTGTCGGGTAGATGCCATTGTTGTAACTATACTGGAACAGCTTGGCTAGAGTAACACATTCTAGAGCACAAATCTTCAGTAATATTGCCAAAATGTTGTTGGGACCCATAGCCTTTGCAGTATCTAGTGCTTCCAACCGTTTCTTGATATCATGTAGGGCGAATTAAATTGGTTGAAGACTGGTATCTGTGATGCTGGGAACCACTGGAGGAGGCCAGTATGGATTTGGCACTTCTGGATGAAGGTTGCTGAGTTGTGCAAGATTCGAAGCATTAGCTCTTTATCTGTCCACAGTTGCTGGCATATTTGCAGAGCTTCTCCAGCAGTTTCTATTTTTATTTCAGATTGCCGGTATCTGCGGTATTTTGCTTTAACATGATAATAACTTTGTCTGTAGAAATCAATATTGTCCAGAACAGCAGGGAGTTGGGGGGTTCTCAGTTTAATATCTCATCTGAGACGTGGTACCCCTGACAGTGCGGCCCTCCCTCAGTATTAGCTGTGATATATCAGGCTAATAATTGTGTTCAAGGCTCTGGGATGGGACAGGAACCCAAAATCATTTGATTCAGAGGCAGGAGCCACTGATTATCCACTTAGATAAGATACCAGAGTAACAGCCAAGGTACTGTTGCCTGAAAGGTACTGCTTCATTGTTTGGTGCTTTCAAGATATAAGGAGAGAAAACTGAGAGCAACAAGAGAGAAAGGCATGGAATTATGAAAAATCGCTCCTTCAGCTAGCCACAGAATCATTAAAAAAAAATGTGAAATATGAGCAGGAGGAAGACATTTGTCCCCTCAAGACTGCCCCGCCATTCTGTAAGATCATGACCAATTGTTCCCAGGCTTCAACTCCTCCTTCATGTCAGCTTCTTAAAGCCCTCAACTCCTCAATATTTAAATACTCTAGCCACCTCCTTCTTTTAAATAGTTTCAATGATCCACAGAATTACAGACATTCAGTACCCTCTGCGAGAAGAAATTCTTCACATCTCAGTTTTATATGGATGTCCCTGGATTCTGTAACTATGTCCCTTGTTCAAGATTTCCCCCACTAGTCATTGAATCCCTACCATGCAGAAAGAGGCCATTTGGCCCATTGAGTGTGCACTGACTCTGAAGAATATTCCACCCAGACCCACACCCCATCCCAGTAACCCCACATGGCGTTTTCACCATGGCTGATCAACCTAGCATGCAAACCCCGAACACTACGGGGCAATTTTTAGCATGGGCAATCTACCTAACCTGCACATCTTTGATCTGTGGGAGGAAACCGGAGCACCTGAAGGAAACCCAGGTCCCTGGTGCTGTGCCGCCGTCCTGCCACTAGTGGATGCATCTTCTCATCAGCTACCCTATTAAGCCCCTTCAGAATCTTATATCTTTGAAGAAGATCAACTGTCATTCATCTAAACTCTGAATAATGGTGTAACCTGTTCAGCCAAAAGACAATTCGATTCATTAAAGAAATCAGCCTACTGACTCTCTTTGAACTGCCTACTATGTCATTATATCCTCTCTTAAATACAGGGACCAAATCTGTACACACAACTTCTGGTGTGGTTTCACCAATAGCCTGTACAGTTGTGGCAAGATTTCCCTCTTTTTAAACTCCACCTCCTCGCAATAAAGGCCAAACTTCCATTTGCTGTCTTAATAACTTGCTGCACCTGCATGTTAACCTTTTATGTTTCATGCAGAAGAAAACCCATATTCCTCTGCAATGCATTTTTCTGGAGTGTCTCTTTATTTTAATTAATTCTTGACTCTTGATTCCTCCTACCAAAGTGCATGACCTTATTATTTCCTACATTAAACTCCATTTGCCAAGTTTTGCCCACTAACCTATCTATAATCAATTGCAGATTCCTTATGTCTTCATCATGATGTGCCTTCTCACGTTTTGTAGTGTCATCGGCAAATTTGGATACAGTGCACTCCGTCCCCTTCTAGTCATTAATATTGATAGTGAGCAATTGAGGTCCTAGGCCACTCCGGTGACACTGTACAAGTTACATCTTCAAACCTGAAAAAGACCATTAATCTCAACTCTCTGTCTTCTATGTGTTAACCAATCCTCAATCCATGCTAATACATTTCCCCCAATACTATGAGCTCCTATCTTGTATAACAAACTTTTGTGTGGTATCTTATTGAATGCCTGCTGAAAATCCAAATACTCTGTATCTATCAGTTCCCACTTATCAAATCTGCTTATAATATCCTCAAAGAACTCTAGCAAACTTTTCAAGCATGATTTCTCTTTCGGGAAACCATGTTCACTTTATTTGATTGGGTTAAGCTTTCCTGAATAACCCACTATTTCTTCTTAGACCATAAAAAAATAGGAACAGGAGTAGGCTGTTCGGCCCCTCGAGCCTGCTTTGCCGTTCAATAGGATCATGGCTAATCCAACATTCCTCGTATCCCCTTTCCTGCCCTTTCCCCGTAATGTTTGATTGCCCTGACTGATCAAGAATCTATCGATCTCAGTCTTAAATATACACAAGGAATCTGCCCCACAGCTCCCTGTGACAAGGAGTTCCAAAGACACACAACCCTCTGAGAAGAAATTCCTCCTCATCTCGGTCTTAAATTGGAATCTCTTTATTCTGAGACTATGCCATCTGGTCCTAGACTCATCCATGAGGGGAAATATCCTGTCAGCATTTACCCTGTTATGTCCCTTAAGAATCCTATATTTTTCAATGAGATCACCTCTCATTCCTCAAAACTCCAGTGAGTAACGTCCCAACCTGTTTAATCTTTGCTCGTAAGACAATCCCACAATACCAGGGATCACCTAGTAAACCTTCTCTGAACTGCCTCAAATAAAACAATATATTTCCATAAATAAGGGGATCAAAACTGCTCACAGTTTCTAGAAGTGGTCTCACCAGCACCTAAAACAGTGGAGTAAGACTTTCCTACTCTTATACTCCAACCGCCTTGAAATAAGGACCAACATTTGATTTGCCCCTGATTACCCTGCTGCTCCTATGTGCTAGCTTTCTGTGTTTCATGCACAAGTACCCCTAAATCCCTTTGTGTTGCAGCTTTCTGTAGTTTATCTCCATTTAAATAACATTGTGTTCTTCTTCCCTTCCAAAATTAACAACTTCACACTTTCCCACATTATACTCCATTTGCCTTCTTAATTGCCCACTTACCTAACTTATCAATATTTCTCTATAAATTGCTTGTATCCCTCTCAGAGCCTGCCTGTCCGTCTATTTTTGTATCATCTGCAAATTTGACTACGGTGCATTCCCTTCCTTCTTCCAAGTCATTAACATATATTGTATTACATATTTGACAGAATTAATTTAAAGGGTGTGACTGTCTTCTAAAACACAGTGTCTAGGTATATTTCTCCCGCCTGCCTGATGTGTAGCAGCTCAGGCTCTAACACATCAACCCTGAGCTGAAGCTCCTCAAGTAGTTAGCACTTGCTGTGATGTGCTGAATTAAACCACTTGACCATTCAAAGAAGCACAGAAGAAAACCTACCAATCATGTATCTACCCATCATGTGGAGGCAATTGCCTAGTGGTGTTATCACTGGACTGTTAATCCAGAGACCCATATAACGTTCTGGGTACCTGGTTCGAATCCTGCCATATCAGATGGTGGAATTTGAATTCAATAAAATATCTGGAATTCAGAGTCTAATGATGACCGTGAATCCATTGTTCATTGTTGGAAAAACTCATCTGGTTCACTAATGTCCTTTAGGGAAGGACATCCTTACCTGGTCTGGCCTACATGTGACTCCAGACCCGCAGCAATGTGGTTGACTCTTAACAGCCCTCTGGGCAATTAGGGATGGGCAATAAATGCTGCTTATCCAGCAAAGCCCTTGTTGAATGAATAAAAAAAATCCTGTATCACACTTTGGCTCTGACAGGTAGAAATAGATTGAAGGGCCTCCCTCTCCCACCTGTTTTTATTTCCCACCACCACTGCCTTTCTTACATAGATCTGTTCTCGGTGTGCTGGGCCCCTCTCTCAAATGCTGCAGTTTATTTCCCTCTGATGTTGCACTTCTCACCCACGTCTGCTTTCTCAGAATTATTTACTTAGAGCAGTTTTCTGTTGCCTAAGTGAACCGAAATGGTGGGTAAATGACAGAATTTGGCATGCATGTCGTACAGTGCTTTAGCTGAACACGTGACCGAATAGCCTATCTCAGTTTCAATTCCTGCAGCCATATTTTATTGTGAAATTGCCTGTGTAACCTTGCCCTACCAACAGCAGTACAATATAATGTCAACATGGTAAGTTTAGACTCTTTCCATTGTAATGGCAACATAAAGGTGATGACAATGTGAGGGTGACTTCATTATAGGTGGAGCCAGTGTGTTCACTTTCGTTGATCCCACAGGCTGCTTTATATAGATGTAGACTTCCTCATGTAACTCCCTCGTGTTAAATTGTAATGGACTGTTGAAGACATGGAGAACTGCAGGATGTCAACAGTACATGTAACAGATTCCCAACAGTGTGTCTGTCAGTTGCGGAAATTAGTGGTTTTGAGACTTGAAACTGGATAGAAAAATTTATTTAGTCGTTAAAAGATGTTCCATGTTAAGTAATGGATGATTCTGTTTTATAGGAATTCCTTGGATGTGTTGGATGTTCTCGAGGGCCGTGCACACACCATATCTCTGCCAATTGAAGTTAAGTATGTTCATTTGGTGGCTGAAGACAGGTGGTTGTTGGTGGAAAATAAGACAAACAAGTGAGTGCAGCACATTTCTTTCTCCTTGTGTCCCTCATTTAGCTGTCATAGTTTCATACATTGCTATCAACTTTCACCTCAAATCTCCCCTTAAAATGTCCTTTGCTCCAAGGAAAATAATCACTCCAGCCTAATGTTGTAACTAAACCCCTATCACAATTCTCGTAGATCTCCTCCGCCCACTCAAATTCTTCCAAAGTGTGGCCACCAAAGCCAGGGAGCTATAGACCAGTGAGCCTGACATCAGTGGTGGGCAAGTTGTTGGAGGGGATTCTGAGAGACAGGTATTTACATGTATTTGGAAAGGCAAAGACTAATTACTGATAGTCAACATGGCTTTGTGTGTGGGAAATCGTGTTTCACCGGCTTGATTGAGTTTTTTGAAGAAGTGACGAAGTGGATTGATAAAGGCAGAGCAATGGATGTTGTCAGTGTGGACTTCAAAACTCGACAAGGTTCTGCGTGGTAGACTGGTTAACAAGGTTAGATCACATGGAATACAGGATGAACTGGCTATTTGGATACAAAATTGGCTAGAACGTAGGAGACAGAGGGTGGTGGTGAAGAGTTGCTTTTTGGACTGGAAGCCTGTGACCAGGGGTGTACTGCAGGGATTAGTGATTGGTCCACTGCTTTTTGTCATTTATCCTAATGATATAGATGTGAATATAGGAGGAATAGTTAGTAAATTTGCAGATGATTGGTGGTGTAGTGGGCAGCAAAGAAGGCTACCTCAGAATACAGTAGGACCTTGCCCAGTTGGGCCGATGGGCCAAGCCGTGGCAGATGGAGTTTAATCTAGATAAATGTGAGGTGCTACATTTTGTTAGGGCTAATCAGGGCAGGACTTAATACACTTATACACTTAATGGTAAGGTCCTGGGGAGTGTTGCCGAACAAAGAGACCTTGGAATGCAGGTTCATAGTTCATTGTAAGTGGAGTTGAAGGTAGATAGGGTAGTGAAAAAGGTGTTTGGTATGCTTGCCTTTATTGGTCAATGCATTGAGTATAGGAGTTGGGAGGTCATGTTGTGGCAGTGTAGGACATTGGTTTGGCTAGTTTTGGGATACTGTGTGCAATTCTGGTTTCCTTGCTATAGGAAAGATGTTGTTAAACATGAAAGGGTTCAGAAAAGATTTACAAGAATGTTGCTGGGGTTGGAGGGTTTGAGTTTATAGGCTGGGGCTGTTTGCGCTGGAGCGTCGGAGGTTGAGGGGTGACCTTTTCGAGACTTCTAAAATCATGAGGGACGAGGATGGTATGAATAGGCAAAGGTCTTTTCCTCAGCGTAGGAGAGTTCAAAGCCAGAGGGCATAGGTTAAGGTGAGAGGGGAAAGATTTAAAAAGGACCTAAGGAGCAACTTTTTTAACACAGAGGGGTGCGTGTATGGAATGAGCTGCCAGAGGAAGTGGTGGAGGCTGGTACAACATTTAAAAGGTATTTGGATGGGTACATGAATAGGAAGGATTTAGAGGGATATGGGCCAAATGCTGGCAAATGGGACTAAATGAGTTTGGGATATCTGGTCTGCATGGACAAGTTGGACTGAAGGATCCGATTCCATATTGGTACGTCTCTATGACTGTATCACCAAGACATATGGAGCAGGGAAGGGCAGGACTCAATATGTGTAGAATCTTCAGGTGAGGGGTGCTGCAATATTGATCAAGGAATGAATTAGTGCAATGAGCCATGAAATCTTAGAAGCCTCCTTAGTTCAGGTCGTACGGCTTGAACTTAGAAACAGAAGGGGCAGTCACGTTACTGAGAGTGTACAATCAATCAGTGAGTTATACAAAGGCAGATATGTGCACAAATCTCAGTGAAGTGTAAAAATAATAGGATAAGACTAATAGGGGGTTTCAACTTCTCCAATGTTACCTGGGACAGACAACGTGAAAGGCTTAGAGGGGGCTGACTTCTTGAAATGCACACAGGAGAGTTTTTAAACCAACACGTGGAAAGTCCTACAAGACAATTGATGGGCCTGATTTTGGTAAGCAAAGCCAAGAAAGTGGTAGAAGTGTTCATAGGGGAGCATTTTGGTGATAGTGACCATAATTCAGAAAGATTGAAAGTAGTTATGGGAAAGGACTAATTTGGATCAGAAATAAAAGTTCTCAACTGGAGGAAGGCTGATTTCAAGATAAAACAGGATCAGCTGGTGGAAGGCTCTTGTGGTAGTGTCCGTACCTCTGAACCAGGAGACCTGGGTTAAAGTTCCACCTGCTCCAGAGGTTGATTGAAAAAATTTCTAAAACATGATTTGGCCAAACTGGACTAGGAGCAGCCACTTGTAGAAAAATCTATTTCAGAGCAATAGGAATCATTTAAAAAGGAAATAGTGAGAGTGCAACCTGACATATTCCTGTAGAAGTGAAGATTTGAGATGAACAGTTCCAGAGAACCTTAGATGGCAAATAATGTACAGGATTGGGGAAGGGAAAAAAGGTACTGTATGGCAGATACTGAGGGCTCATCTTAGCAGCTGCCCAGAGGACTATAGAATGTGTAGGAGTTTACTTAAAAAAAGAAAAAGGGAAAGCAAAGAGGGGCATTAAAGAACGCTGGTGGGTAAATAAAGGAAAATCCAAAAATATTTCTTATGTATTTTAAAGACAAGAAGATAACCAGGGAAAGAGCAGAGCTTATTGGAGACCAAAGTGGCAATATTTGTGTGGAGACAGAAGGTGTAGGTGAGATTTTAAATGAAATTTTGTATTTGTTTACTATCAAGAAGAAAACTGCAGGTTTAGAGATCAGGGAGGGGGGCTATGATATACTGGAACAAATTAACATGGAGAGGAAGATGGAATTAGTGATTTTAATAGAGTCATAGTCATACAGCATTGAAATGGACCTTTCAGTCCAACTCCACCATGCTGAACAGATATCGTAAACTGATCTAGTCCCATTTGCCAGCATTTGGCCCATATCCCTGGAAATCCTTCCTATTCATATACCCCTGCAGATGCCTTTTAAATGTTGTAATTGTACCCACCTCCTCCACTTTCTCTGGCTGCTGGTTCCATGCACACACTGCCCTCTGTGTGAATAAGTTGCCCCTCAGGGTCCTTTTAAATCTTTCCCCTCTTATCTTAAGCCTATGCCGTCTAATTTTGGACTGTCCTACCCTGGGAAAATGGCCTTGGCTATTCACCTCATCTATGGCCCTCATGATTTTATAAACCTCTATAAGGTCACCCCTCAGCATCCAACATTCCAGGGAAAATAGCCCAAGCCTATTCAGCCTCTTCCTATAGGTCAAACCCTCCAATCCCAACAACATTGTTATAAATCTTTTCTGAACTCTTTCATGTTTAACAACGCCTTTTATATATCAGGGAGACCAGAGTTGAACTCAGTGTTCTGAAATTGGTCTCACTAATGTTTTGTACAACCAAACATAACATATACTCAATGCACTGACCAATGAAGTCAAGCTTGCAAAATGCCTTCTTCACTACCCTGTCTACCTGCGATTCCACTTTCAAGGAACTGTGCACCCGTACCTCTAGGTCCTTTTGTTTGGCAACATTCCCCAATGCCCTGCCATTAACTGTATAAGTCCTGCCCTGATTTGTCTTACCAAAAAGCAACATCTCACATTTATCTAAGTTAAACTTGATCTGCCATTTCCCGGCGCATTGGCCCACCTGACCTTCACTGTCCACTACGCCACCAATTTTGGTGTCATCTGCAAACTTATTTACCCTACCTTCCAAATTTGCATTGAAACCATTTACATAAATGATGAAAAGCAGTGGACCCAACACTGATCCTTGCGGCACACCACTGGTCACAGTTTTCCAGTCTGAAAAACAACCCTTCACCACCACCCTCTGTCTCCTCCCTTTAAGCCAATTTTGTTCAATTCATAAGCTTCCCCTGGATTCCATGTGATCTAATCAAGTTCTTCCCTTTCTATAACCTCTGCATTACCTGTTACTGTTAGGCTGGTATAAGTGAAAACTGAAGCAAAATATTAATTTAGTGAGACCACAATTTCTGTGTTCCCCACTATTAACTCTCCAGTCTCATCCTCCAATGGACCAACATTCACTTGAGCTACTGTCTACCTTCTTATATACTTACAGAAGCTTTTGCTATCCTTTCTTATATCTTAGACTAGTTTTCTTCCATAATTTACTTTTGTTCTTTAAATGACTTTTTTTTAGTAAACCTTTGTTGGTCTTTAAAAGTTGCCTAATGTTCTACTTTCCCACATGCCTTTGCAATATGGTATGGCTTATTTTTTGTCTTTATATTCTCTTTAACTTCCTTGCTTAGCCATGGATATTTTTTACCCCTCTGACAATCTTCCTTCCTTTCTGGAATATATTTTAGCTGGGAGCAATTGAGTATCTCCTTAAAGTTCAGCCATTGTTCTTCATCTGTCCTACCTTATAGTCTCCCTGCCCAGTCTGTCTTCATGCTAATTTAATAACCTCTGTTTAACTCCAGAACACTAGTGTGGGTCTCTAGTTTCAATTAGATCATTAATTAATCCCACCTCATTGCACAATGCCAAATCCAGAATATCCTGCTGCCTAGTTGGTTCCCCAACCTACGGCCTCCAGAAACAATCTCTAATATATTCAGTGAATGTTCCTTGATGCTATCCTTGTCAATTTGTTGAAGAATGTAAGAGGGCTTTGGATTCAGGAAATTTGGCAAGTTGGATCCAAAATTGACTTAGTGGCAAGTCACAGAGGATGATGGTCAAAGGGTGTTTTTGTGACTGGAAGCCTGTGTTCAGTGGCATACCACAGGGTTCAGTGCTGAGCCTTGTGCCGTTTGTAGTGTACGTTAATGATCTAGATATAAATGAGGAGGCATGATCAATAAGTTTGCAGATGACACAAAAAATTATGGATTCATGTCCTACTGCAGGCCACGACACAAATCAAGGCTGACATTTCTATACAGTACTAATGGAGTGTGGGGATGCCATTTTTTGGGGTGAGCTTTTAAACTGTGGCCCTTCCTCAGGTGCGTATAATAGATCTGACAGTACTGTTTCAAGTAAGAGCAGGGAGGTTGCTTCAGGACCAGCATAACAAAAAAAGATTATCTGGTCATTATTACATTGCTGTTTGAGTTATGCAAATTGACTGCTCTGTTTCCTACACAAAAACAGTGACTGCTGTTCACAAACTGTTCGTTTGAATGTAAAGTGCTTTGAGATGTCAAGTGGTTGTGACAAGTGCTATATAGATGTAATTCTGTGTTTTCCTTCAGAAGCCTCAGGGATCCTGATAAATCAGTTGCAATGTTTACTTGGAATCATGTTGCCTATTTGTTTGAGAACCAATTGCCCAAGTGCAGTTTGAGGCTGTATTCTGTTCCTTTGTGACCTTTACATGGTTCTTGATGTTTTTGCGCAGTTGTTCTCTCAGCATCCTTTTGTTAGTGTGATATTTATTTCCTGTACTTTCCATATCTGTGCCCTCTGGTTAAATTGCATAAACTTTATGCACTCATGCATGATTTCTCTTGTTTAAATGGTTTGTTCTTCTGCTTAACCTTTCTTGTTTTCAATGCATTACTTTCAAGAAAAGATCTTGGCCCATGGTAATTGTTTCAACCTGGGCTTTGGTACTTCATACCTTTGCACACTCCAGCAGAGAAACATATCAGACAGATAAGCCCACTGAACTGAACCTTGTCCAAATATCTTACATAAACTTCATTCTGCACTTCTTGGTATTTCTGCTCATGCCCTCTCAGATTTGTTCAGAGGAGACTAAGCAGAGCGACTCAGTGTGCACTATGCCCAACAAGGCCTAGCTAGGCCTGTTAATGGACAGAGCATTCATTTTTGCCCAATGTCTGTGCTCATAGGGTTTAGAGACATGAAGATGAGATGTATACCAGGCAGGATAGCTAGGATAGGAAGGAGTGAAAAATCATAAATCTGTGTTGTTAACAATATGTCTAACAGAACATTACTGTATTTCTGCGTGTTGATATAAATTTAAGAAGGTTTATTCCCTGTGAAGTCATTTTGATCACCATTAAAGTGTCAATGCCCTGATTCCATGTCCAATTGTCCAGTCTAATCACCTTCTGAGCTCTCTGGGATCTCTACTCCCCATTCATTAACAAGCAACTGTTGAATAATCTTTCAGGAAGTTCCTTCTGACAAAGCCGATGAGTATTGAATCTGACTTGTCTGGAACTTGTCAGCTGCATGTGATAAATGAGGAGTCGGTCAGCACGGGATTCGGAAACACTGTGGGTATGTGTTTTGCTCAGGATTGAAAATAGATACCTTCACTTTCTGTTTGTAGCTTTGAGGTGCTCTGTGTATTAACTTAAATTTAGTGTCTGCTAATCAGAGTAATCCTTTTGCTAAGTCTTTGAGGGGAGGGTGGGAGAATGCAAACTCTTGATGCCAACAGAAACCATGGATCAGAATGGAAGAAGGAGTTGCAACAGATAGATCATGGCTCAGCGATATCCCTCTGCAACAAAGCTGAGGAATTCTGGGGCTTCATTTGTTTCAGAATAACAAGAGAAGATCATATACATCATTGGTTGAATGCCCAGATGACCCAAATTGTTTTTTGCATTGACCTTTTCTGTTTCAGCTTCTCTGCGTTAGCTTCACTATCTGCATATCTCCAACAATTTAGATGCATCTCGAGAGCACTACTGTGATTGACCTAGGAGAAAAGTTTATAGTCACAATAACAAGTAAAATTACATCAACGATTTTGTTTATTAACTGTAAAAATATCAGAGACGCGAATAAGAAGGTCATATGACTGAAAGTAGAGTATCAGACAATGAAGTATCAGTTCATGTTTCAGATGGTTGGGAGGGTGGAAGATGGACGATCGAAGTGGGGGCAGACGTTAGGGGATGCCTGAATGGAGGAGGCCAAGAAATAAATCTTCCAGGACTAGGTGCAGACAGAGTTGGAAGCCACCAGCTGCATATTGGATCCAATTAACTACTTAATAAAAGTTTGCTGTCTCTCACCACTCGAAGAATAAAAATTTCAACAACCAGATGAGAAAATGTTGTGCAGTGTTGGAATGTGGCCAGGAATTAAAAATTTTGAGTGTATGTTTACTTTGTCGCTGATTAAAACTCTTAAAAGAGGGGATTTGACTTAAGATAAAGATCAGCCATTGAATTGTACCAATGTCAAAGTGAAATATGCAATGATGGTGTTCATGCATTTTTGTCACATCGCTTATCTCTCAGTTTTCACGCATGGGATCAGATGGATGATTAGACTTTCTGGCACTGTTGATTGTTTTGGAATGATAGTCTAGTATTTCACCAGTAGGTTAGGTGAAGTGAATTAGCCAGAATAATGATCTGTGCAAAAGGAGAGCAAGAAATTAGTTGCAATCTCTCTCAATAACACTGAGCCTAAATAGCCAGTAACAATAGAGAATTAACTGGGAAAGATATATAATCATGGCATCATCGAGGCTTTCTTCTTGGTGTATTTGACAAATTCATAGAGGACTTCAGGAGAACAGGTAACGGCCGTTTATTTTATATGCAGTTATGGAAAGGCAGCCTTAACACTGAAGGTTAAAGTTCACGGTGTTACAAAACATCTTTGAGCTTTTTACAGGTTACAACATGCATATTACAGTTCTCGTACTTCAATATTTACATGTCTGTTTGTTTCCTAGTCTTCCATAGGTGTTGTCTGTTCATCCACCCAACATCTCTGATAGTATGACTTCTATGCTATTAGCCTTGACAGTCTGAATACTTTGTTTGCTTTTCATTTCTCTGTACATCTGTGGTTTCCCATGTGCTTTGCTTGTTACTGACTATACGACAAAAGTTTTAATCGTTAACTAACAACGCATTCAGGCTTCAAAACCTGATTTTGTTTTATTCTCTAATGGAATATCAGCACATTTATTTCCCATCCATGATTTGGCAGCACTAGCTGAACTACCCTGATGGGGGCCAATAGCTACATGAACAACCAGTTTCAGCTTATGATTCGTAACTAATTTACACTTCCTAGAAGTGACATACTTTCACAAGTCCATTCTCTGCATGCAAAATCCTTACTGATTTCTGAATTACCTCAGAGCTTGGGAAGACTATGTATCATTGTTGCTGTCTCCTCAGCAGCACTTTGGGCCATTAGATTTGATTTGCCAACAATCCATATCCTCTTTCCTCTAGTAGTATAATTTATTGCAATTACTTGAAGTTTGGCATTCTTGAGTTTGTCCTGATTAGTGCAAGACAGATAAAACTAATGCATCACATCTCTCTTTTCAGTAATATTCAACTTTTCTACAGCCAGGCCACAGAGTTAAAGCTACATTTCTAGGCCCTTTCATCAGAACTGAGGAAAATTGGAAATGAAATAGGTTTTGAGTATGTGAAAAGGCCAGTGCCTGGAAGGAAGAAAAATAGAGAAGGTCTATGATATGAATGAGGGCTGGAGATATTAAATAAGAAAACGTTTCATGGAACAAAAGCAAAGAGAACATTAATGGATGTAGAAATTAAACGAAAGATGTGACTAGAGGTGAATGTAATGATAATAGCCATCCAAGTACAAAGAAAAGCCATTAAGTAATTTTATAAAAGCAAAACATAAAATTGGTTGTTATCTAAAATTGTAAATATTGAGTCTGGAAGGCTGAAATTGGCCGTAGTTGAGTCAAAAGATGATATGCTGTTACTCAAGCCTGTGTTATGTTTTATTGGAACACTACAGGAGGTCAAGGACAGAAAGGTCAGAATCGTAGCATCATACAGCATTTTAGTTTTCCTCTTAGGTTTAGAATTCCACCATTGAAGTTTTCTGTTTTTGTGTAAATGTGTAAATGCAGCAACCAATTTGCAAACTGCAAGTTCTCACTAGACGCAAGAGATAACCTGCTTTTAAATTGTTGGAAAAGAAATGATGGACAAAATGCTGAGAGAGTGCCCAACCCTTCTCCAGTCATCCTCTGGAGTTTTCATACATCCAATTTCGCAGGTAAATGAGGTCTTGAATTCACTTCATAAGGGGACAAAATGGAGCATTCTCTCAGGACTGGGCCCAAGTTTAGACCTCGTCTGTGATGGAGTTTGAACCCACAGTCTGACTCGAGGTGTTAGGGCAGTGCCAACTGAGTTAAAATGACATTTCATTGATTCTGCATTGGTTATTCCTGAATCACCTCTGATAGATTTTCCTTCCATTCATTTTAGCCCTGGAGCTTTCAAGCCCTAATATAGTGTCAAAGGAAGAATTACCCTCAGAAAACCTGAGCGTAGCCCTTGGGCAGAAGATTGTGTCTCCAAATCGGATTCTGTCTGACGAAAATAGCTATGCAACAATTGTTGTTGGGTTTCCAGACCTAATGGTAAGGCAGACTTTGACCGGATGGATTTTAGTCCAGTAGGAAGTACCGAAGTTTTCAATTTGCTGATGAATGATACCTGACAAGTGAAAGGGGTTGATTCTTAACTTGCTGAATTTAAAACCCGTAATGTGTTTTGATCATTGCACCTTGTAGAAAATGCCTGCTTTATGTTTTTTTGGAGAGGAACATTACATAATGGACAACCAATTAGCCAGGTTGAAAATCTATTCTAGTATCTCTTTTTAAGTAATTGGAAGTTTGCTGTCTCCGATTCACTGAATTGTTGCAGTAATGCTGTTTGCCCAGAGGTTACGCATTCAGCTGATACCCTCCTGACATATGTTTTTTTTTACAATCACACCCACAGCAAAAATATCACTGTGAACTTTCAGTAGTTGTTACTCTTTGTTGTACATGCTATACCAGATTGAGTGCTACTAATATGCTCTTCATAATTCTGCTACCAAAGCAGACGCAGGGTCAAGTGGTGATTGCACTCATAATAACCACCATCTATGGTCTGTCCTCTGATGTGGGCAGTGTCTGTTTTGTGGAAACCTACTATCAGGAGAAATAATGCTGCCAAAGGATTTTCTTAGTAGAATCGTCCATTAAAACAAAGCAATGGGATAGGTGGTAGTAATGTCACTGGACCAGTAACCTAGAACTCCAGGTTAATGTCCAGGGGACATAGATTCAAATCCCCTCCTTGGCAGATGGTGAAATTTGAATTCAATAAAAATCTGGTATAAAAAGCTAACCTAATGGTGACTGTGTAAAAGCCCATCTGGTTCTTTATCATCCTTATCAGGTCTGACCCATAGCAATGTGCTTAACTCTTAGCTGCCCTCTGGACAACTAGGGATGGGCAATAAATGCTGACCTAGCCAGTGACACCTATACCCCATGATCAAATTAAAAAAACTAAATACACACAGATTCTCACTGAGATTTCACTGTAAGTTCTCAAAGTGCAGAAATGCAGTACCTGGAAATGTGGTGCAAGTAGGTTTGATTGAGGTATTCAAGGAGGCATTGGATGATTATTTGGATTGCGGTGGTGTGCAGGGATATGAGGATAAGGCGGAGATCAGCATTAGATAGTAGAACCAGTGCAGGCATAATGGGCTAAATGGCCTCCTTCTGCACTGAAACAGTTCTGTGATTCTTGCAAAGAGGCTTTTGAATCTGTGGGACAGTGTTTTTACTGTGAACAGTGCATTGTGTCCCTTCAGAACAACAGGGTTAGTGCACTACCTCCAACCTCAACACCAATGAAATTCTCCTTCATAGTTTCAACCTTGATGTTTAATTCCTACTTACAAGCACATGGTTTGGTGTTTCCTCACATTACTGGAGCTGGGAAGAGAGGTGGGGCATCCACAGCTTGAGCTCCCTGGCCGACTAAACAAGTAAAGATTGAAACAAGATTAAAGAGGCATCTGATAAGTATTCACCTCATAATGCATTAGAAGATCATGCTGAATACAGAAAGGTAACAGCGAATTGGGAAAGGAAATATGAGGGGCAGAGTACATGCATGAAAAAAAGATTAGCTCCCCCCTCCCAGCCCTGTTAGCTAGATCTCCCCAATGTGTTGTCTTTCTCTGGATTCTCTGGCTACGATTAGACAGGTATGAATTAAATCATGTGAGAGTGATCCCACACACCTGGACAACAGTGGAGAGGCCTTGGAGGAGGATGGCATGGTCAACTGTGTTAAAGATTATAGACCAGTTGAGAAGAGAAAAATTTACTTTTGTCATTGTTGTACAAGGTAAACTGGTTAGTTAAGTTAGATCACATGGGATTCAGGGAGAGCTTGCTAGTTGGATACAAAATTGGCTTGATGGTAGGAGACGGGGTGGAGGAGAGTTGTTTTTCGGACTGGAGACTGGTGCTGGGCCCGCTGGTGTTCATCGTTTATGTAAACGATTTGGATGAGAATTTAGGATGCATGGTTAGTAACTTTGCGGATGACACCAAAATTGGTGACATTGAAGAAAGTTAGCTAAGTTTACAAAGGAATCTTGATCAATTAGGCCAGTGGGCTGATGAGTGGTGGATGGAGTTTAATTTGGATAAATGCAAGATATTGGATTTTGGTGAAATGAACAACAGTAGGACTGATACAGTTAATGGTAGGCCCTGGGTAGTGCTGTTAAACAAGAGACCTAGGGGCTCAGGCATATAGTTCTTTGAAAGTTGCATCACCTGTGGACAGGGTGGTTAAGAAGGCATTTAGCGTACTTGCCTTCATCGCTCAGACTATCGTGTATAAGAGTTGGGACGTCATGTTGAGGTTGTACAGGATGTTGGTGAGGCCAGGTTTGGAATACTGTGTACAGTTCTGGAAGGAAATTATTAAAATGGAGAGGGTTCAGAAAAGATTTGTAAGGATTTGAGTCATGAGGCAAGGCTGAATAGGCTTAAGTTCTGAGGAAGGGTCACCGGACCCGAAACGTTAACTCTGTTTTTTCATTCACAGATGCTGCCAGACCTGCTGGGCTTTTCCAGCAACTTTGTTTTTGTTCCTGGATAGGCCGGGACTTTTTCACTGGCGTTTGAGGGGTGACCTTATGTGGATTTATAAAATCATAAGGGGCATAGATAAGGTGAATACCCAAGGTATTCCATAGGGTAGGGGAGTTGAAAACTAGAGGGCAATTTTTTTAAGCTGAGTGGAGAAAGAATTAAAAGGAACCTGAGGGGCAACTTTTTTACACAGAGTAGTTCGTGTGTGGAGGAACTGCCAGTGGAAGTGGTGGATGCAGGTACAGATACAAAATTTAAAAAACATTTGGACAGGTACATGAATAGGAAAGGTTTAGAAGGATATGGGCCAAATACAGGCAAGTGGGACTAGTTGAGTTTGGGAAACTTGGTCAGCATGGACGAGTTGGACTGAAGGGTCTGTTTCTGTGCTGTATGACTCTGACTCTAGGGAAGAAAAGTCAATGGATTTGTAAATGGGAGGAAAGGAGCAGTTTAATAACCTGTTTTATAAACTTCACCAGAAAATCAGTAAGAGAGGATGCAAACGTTGACACTTGGTTGTCCAACTCAGGACAATTCAGGACTGGATGAGGAAGAAGAGAAAGACTTTTAACAAGTCAGCTGTAGCCCTGAATAAATATAGGAAGTGCAGCAGGGAACTTAAGAAAGCGATTAGAAGAGCAAAAAGGGAGCATGGAAAAGCACTTGCAAATAGGATTAGGGAGAATCCTAAAGTATTTTATAAATATATTTAAGGGAAGATATCAACCAGGGAAAGAGTATGGCCCGTTAGGGACCAAGGAGGCAACCTGTGTGTGAACCTGCAGTATATTAGAACAGTGTTAAATGAGTACTTCTGTTTGTCCTCACCCTGGAAGTGGAGAACATAGGTACAGAATTCAGGAAAAAGGACTGTGAGGAACTTGCACAGTTTGGCATAGGACATGGGGAGGTATTGGAGGCTCTGACAGGCTTAAAAAACAGAGACATCCCCTGGTCTAGATGAATTGCACCCCAGATTGCTGTAGGAGGTGAGGCAAAAGTTGCAGGGGCTCTGACACAAATTTTTGATTCTTCTCTGGCCATGGCGTTTGGTCCAGGGGACTGGAGGATGCTGAATGTAGTTCCACTTTTCAGTAAAGTTGGTAGAGATGAACCAGGAAATCACAGACTAGTGAATCTCTTGTCAGTGGTAAAGAAACTCTTGGAGAAAATTCTGAAGAACAGAATTAATGTCCACTTGGAAAAGCATGGGTTAATTAGGGATAGTCAACAGGGCTTTTTCAGAGGGAGGTATGCCTAAGAAATTTTCAAAAAATTCTATCAAGTGTGAGCAAGTACGTATATGAGGGAAGTTCAGTTGGATTTTAACACAGCTTTTGACAAGTTACCACATGGAACACTGATTGAGAAGATTAAAGTACATGGAATTCATGGCAACTTGGCGAGATGGATCAGAAACTGGCTTAATAATAGGACACAAAGGTCGTGGTAGAAGGCTATTTGAGTGACTGGAGGCCAGTGTCCAGCAGTGTACCATAAGGATCAGTACAGGGACCCTTATTGTTTGCTTTGTACATAAATGATATAGCTGAAAATGCTGGCGGAGTGTTAAGCAAGTTTGCAGATGGCACCAAGATTGGTAGAGTGGTTAATGGTAAAGAAAGTGGTTACAGGAAGATATGGATGAGTAGATCAGATGGGCAGAGCAGTGGCAGATGGTATTTAACCCTTATAAGTGTAAGGGGATGCGCTTAGGAGGAAGAAACAAGATTAAGGAATATTTAATGAATGGCAGGACACTGGGTAACTTAGAGGAACAAAGGGATCTTGGGATAATTATTCACAGATCCCCGAAATTGGCAGACCACGTGAATAGGATAGTTAGAAGAAGGCATGGGGGCACTTGCTTTTGTCAGTCATGGCATAGAGTATAACAGCAAGGAAGTAATGTTAGAGTTATTACAGAGCATTAGTTAGGCTGCAGCTGGAGTATTGTGTGTAGAACTGGTCACCTCACTCCGGGAAGGATGTGATAGCGCTAGCAGGGGTACAGAGGAGGTTCACCAGGAGTGGCATGGAGCAATTGAGCTGTAAGGAAAGACTAGATAGGTTTGGATTGTTTCTTTAGAGCAGAGAAGGCTGATTGAGGTGTTTAACGTTATGAGAGGTTTGGGCAGGTGATTAAGGAGCAGCTGTTCCCCATGGCTGAGGAGTCAATCACGAGGGGCATAGTTTTAGGCTAAGAGGCAAGAAATTCAGAGGAAATTTGAGAAAAATGCTTTTTCACTCAGAGGATGGTGGGAATCTGGGATGCACTGCTTGGGAAGGTAGTGGAGGCCACAAACCTTACAATCTCTTAAAAATAAATTTAGATGAGCACTTGAAATATCGTAACATCCGAGGGTATGGGACAAGTGCAGGAAATTAGGTATTCTAAAAGTGGCCTCATCAATGTCCTGAACAGCCGCAATCTTCACCCTGTCTATGTGCGACTCCACTTTCAAGGAACTATGCACCTGAACCCCTAGGTCTTTGTTTGGCAACTCTCCCCAGGGCCCTGCCATTAACTGTGTAAGTCCTGCCCTGGTTTTCCTTATCCAAGTGCAACAACTCACATTTATCTAAATTAAACCCATCTGCCACTTCTCTGCCCATTCACCTATATCAAGATTGCATTACACTCTGAGATAATCTTTCTCATTGTCCACTACACCACCTATTTTGGTCTCATCTGCAAACTTACTAACCTGGAGGACAGATCTATCTGTGGCAATCTGGGTCCTACACAATTAATGTCTATGGAAGAAACCAGACAGAACCTGGAATGACGTTCCATTAGGCGGCTGGTGTTTCCCTTAAATTAGCACCTTTCAGTAACTCGTCACCAATAAGGTTTTCCACTTGATACCTGCCCTTGAGTTATGGATGCAAGGAGTGGTGGTGTTGTGTGGAGTAACATACTAGACAAGTCTGTCCCTCCTGTATGGACAAACACATGGAAATATCAGTTGGTTGGACTGGATTCTGGGTTGTGTTCTGGCAGGAGCAATGACTCACGCACTCCATGGCCTTGACTGACTGTGAGCTATAATCATAGAGTGACACCATACTAAATCACAATCAAGAGACAGCATGGAGAAGCAAAAAGAAGCTGGGACAGCGTTCCAAGAATCATGTAACAGAAGGTTCAATAAACAGAAAGTCATTTAGGAGACACGGAAAAATATTTTTCTCGTGGGGTATTTAGGCTCTGCTTTCACTGCCTTCAGGAAGAGAGAGTTTGAATATTATAACAAGATACACAGGTAGTGAATAGATTCTTGGTGAGCAAAGGGGTGAAATGTTACTGTGGGTAGGTGGGAGTGCAGAGTTATCAGGTAAGGCAGAACCTTAATGGTGAAACAAGGCTGAGTGAACTACTTCTGTTTCTAATTGATGTGCTTGTATGTCAGTCCTCACCCTAAAATCACTCTGTGGAAACTGACCACCATGTTTCAGGGTCTCTTAAACTTGGCAATTGACAAATTCAGACAGGTAGACTTTGATGCATTACAGCACAATGCTGTATGGACAGGGACAGTGAAGGAGTTTAATCGGTCAGATTGCACAATCAACACCACACAAAAGAATCAAGACCCATTGCAGTATTGCCTTGAAGGGTTCTTGGAAGCAGCTACCGCTTCCTCTGGCAGTTCATTCCACATTGAAGCACGCTCTGTGTGAAAAAGTTGCTCCTCAGGGCCCTTTTAAATCTTTTTCCTCTCACCTTAAAATTATGCTCTCTAGTTTTGAACTCCCCTACCCTAGGTAAAGACTGTGCTATTTACCTCGTCTATGCCTCTCGATTTTATAAACCTTTATAAGGTCACCCCTCGATCTCATACACTCCAGTGGAAGAAAGTCCCGGTCTATCCAACCTGTCCTTCTAATTCAAAACCTCCAATCCTGGTAACATCCATGTAAATCTTTTCTACACCCTCTCCAATTTAATTACATCCTTCCTATAGCAGGACAACCAGAACTGTATGCAGTACTCCAAAAGTGGCTCAATACTATCCTGTCCAACTGCAACATGACGTCCCTACTCCTCTACTCTGTGGTCTCAGCAATGAAGGCAAGTGTGCCAAATGCTGCCTTTACCACCCTAGCCTACCTGTGTCGCAACTTTCAAACTTTGTTATTTCTCATCGGCCAGTATACACATTGACAGCTGTGCAGACAGCGTGATCTCCTGCTAGCATTTTCATTTTTTTTAAAGTTGTTTAAATGCTTGTTTATATAATACTGATCTGTATCTCTGCAGTCTCCCAGTGAGGTGTACACATGGAAAAGAAAGGCTTCATTGGACAATGATGGTGCTGGCTCCCCAAAGAATAGGTTCTTCAGAGGGAGCTACGAGTCTGGGAGTGTGAAGCAATCCAACTGCATCACCCTGACCGGAGCCAACCAGGTGATTCGAGCTGTTGCTGTTGAAGATGTACCTATAAATGAAATCTACCCAAAAGGTTAGTGAGTGGTCCTGGGATTCTGCAGGCACTCTTTTTCAATTTAGCATCACCATTTATTTCCAGTTAATTTGTGGGATAGGAGCATTGCTGGCTGTGCCCCTCCCTAATTGCACTGAAGAAGATTGTGGTGAGCTGCCTTCTTAAACTTCTCCAGTCCATTTGGTGTGGGGACGGCCACAGTGCTGTTAGGGAGGGAATTCCAGGATGTTGACCCAGTGACGGTGATGGAATGGCAATATATTCCCAAGTCAGGGTGGTGGGCGGCTTGGATGGTGGTGGTGTTCCCATGCCTCTGTTGCCCTGACCCTCCAGGCGTTAGGAGTAATGAGTTTAGTAGGTGCTGTCAGAAGAATGTCGATCTAGTTATGAACTCGGGTCACAACACAACACATCTATAACTTGCAGCAAGTTGTAATGATATCTGCTTTTTACTCTCTGTAGTTCATTCTCACTCATTGTTGACTGTTCAAATTCATGCCCAACAACTGTCATCTGCCTTTGCAAACAACTGTTCTATCTACAACATCCCATACCTAGAATCAAAACAAAATCACAGATTGCCTACAGTGTGGAAGCAGGCCATTTGGTCCATTGAGACCACACCGAACCTCCGAAGAGCATTCCATGATAGATATAAGAGTCACATGCCAAGGGTCTAACCAGAGTAATAAGTAATTCAAAACTGTACAACCTAATTAAGGCAGAGAGATCATAAGAATTTATCGAGGTGATGGTCTCAAAACAAGATAGTAAGGAAGATTTTACATATATAGAACAGTGTAGTGGGGTCCCATGTTGCGCGACATGAACCCAACTTCACGGTTGAGGCCGGCTTCATGGATACGGAACTTGGCTATCAGTTTCTGCTCGGCGATTCTACATTGTCGTGTATCTCGAAGGCTGCCTTAGAGGACGTTTACCCAAAGGTTAGAGGTAAATATCCTTGACTGCTGAAATGTTCCCCAGTTGGGAGGGAAAATTCCTGTTTGACGATTGTTGCTTGGTGTCCATTCATCCGCTGCCATAACATCTGCATGGTCTTGCTGATATACCATGCTTTAGGGCATCCTTGCCTGCAGCATAAGTGATAGACAACATTGACCAAGTCACATGAGTATCTGCTGTGTATGTAGTGGGTGGCGTTCCCACATGATCTGACATGTCTTGCAGAAGTTCCCATGGCAGGGTTGTGAGGTGTTGTGGTTGATGTTGTCCTGAAGGCTCAGCAGTTTGCTGTGAACGATGGTCTATTTAAAGATGACCTTCTCTCTCACTTCACCTGATAAAGGGGCAACACTTCGAAAGCTTGTGATTTCAAATAAACCTGTTGGACTGTAACCTGGTGTCATCTGACATCTGACCTTGTCCACCCCAGTCCAATACCAGCACCTCCACATCTTCCCACAACACTGGACCAATGCCAACATAAATCAGTGACAACTTTTTCAGACTCTGAGTGTAATGCATTATCACTTCTTGATCTCTTTGTAGTTTCCACGGATGCTCGTACTATTCTCCAATGCCTGCCTACCAGTCATAGAGCACAGTATCAGCAGCAGTGTTTTTTTTATTCCGCTCCCGTTACAGAGCTCCCCAAGCATCTGTTCTCCACCCTGTCTAGCACTTTGGCCACATGCTGTTCACAAGTAATATCATCATGGGATCAACGCCTCCATGAGCAGTACACTGATGATATCCAGTTCTGCACCTCGGTTGTCTTTCCTTACACTGGCTCCAGTGCAACATTAGGCGGAGGCTGCATTTCCTTCAATTGGAAGTTAGTGTCCTTGATCCCAGCAGCAGCATCCAAACTCTTATCATTAAGGTGCTCCTGAAATGTTTAACTGAGAGTAGATATTTTCTAGTCAAGCTAGTCAGAGATGTTATTAAACACCTCTGGAGCAGTTGGGACTTGAACCTGGACCTTCTGTTTCAGAGATAGGGGCACTACCACTGTTTAAAGTTTTGGCAAAGATCTGTAGCTCGGGTTGTGGATTTGCTCGCCAAGCTGGCTTGTTCTCGTTTAGCCATTTCGTCACCATGCTGGGTGACGTCATCAGAGAGGCCTCCGATGAAGCAATGTTATTCTACTGTGCTTGGAATTTATCTGTCCAGTCTGTTATGGTGAGTACTGTCATTTCCGGTTTTGATCTGTATGGCTTTGAAAACCCATATACAAACTCATAGAGATCAAAAAACCAGAAACAACACTACTCGCCATAACGGACCGGACAGTATAAATTCCAAGCGGAGTAGAATAACGTTGCTTCATCGAAGACCCTACTGATGATGTCACCTAGCATGGTTACAAAACATCTGAACAAAAATAAGCCAGTTCGGCGAGCAAGTCAACAACCACACTACTACTATGCCACAAGAGCCCTTTTAGCTGTTAGTAAGGCATTAATACAGAGTTCAGCTTCCCCCAGATTCATTGTTAAAACAAAAGTATGATGCAAACATAAATCCTACTGCTGAACATGTGAAAGAATGCAATTTCATTTATGTAGTGCCTTATGCATAGTCAGAATGTGCCACAAGGCTTAACAGCCAATGAAGTAGCTTTGAAGTGAAGTCACTATTAAGCACCCAGACAATTACCAGACCATCTGTTTCAGCAACATTGGTTGCAGAATGAATGCAAGTTGTTGCTAGTTGTTAACCAGGACTTCTCTTCCGCGAGTGCCATCAGATCTCTAGTATCCACCTGGATGGATAGGGCCTCAGTATAATTTCTTACCTGAAGGATGGCACATCTGACAATGCAGTGGCTTGTTGGCCTGCCAGTATCAGCCTGGATTCAGACTCAAAAGTGAAACTCGAAATTAGGAGCTTCTGACTCAGAGCAGAGACTGACATGTCAGAAATAGGCAGGTTTTGAGAGATGTCAGGGACTCGGTCAAGCTTAAAAAATGGGTAAATGATCAGTCTGAATTCTATCCAACCCGCGTGAAGATGTACCTGAGGACATTTGGTCTCTATTTGACAGAAAAAAGGTGAGGATTGCATTTGGTAACTTTCAAGGTACACGCTCACTAAATTATTTCAACAGACAAATTATACAGCATGCAGTAAATAATGTAGTCTTTGTATTGCAGTTAAGTCCAGTCATGTTCCTATTCGCTCACCTTCAGTAAAGGGACCGAGGTGGTAAATGCCCAGCCCGGATCATCAGCGCTTTTATTTTCTTATCTTGTAGATGTGAAGCCTCCAAACACAGCTGGATTCTTGGAAGTAACAGATCTGAACTCCAAAAAGATCAAATATATTCCCATTCCAAGGTGAGAAAATACTGAATGGAGTAGTTCTAGGAGAAAGCACAAAGCAGGAGGGTATCAACAGCCACTTGATTGTTTCCACTATTTATTTAACTCTTGACCAACCTTTATCTTAACTCCATTTACCCGGTTACTCAGTTCAGTAAGACTTAGTACCTTTGTCTCACAAAAATCGGTTAATCTTGACTTTGAGATTTTATTGACATTGATCCTTAGTAACTTTTTGTGGGTAGAGAGAGTTCCAGTTTTCCATTACCCTTTGTGTGAAGATGTGGTTCCTTGCATTAGTCCTGAATGGTTTGGCTGTACTTTTAAGGAATATCAACCGTTTATTTCAGGTATGGTGGCTCAGCACTGCTGCCTCACAGTGCCAGGGACCGTGGTTCAATTCCAGCTTTGGGCGCCTCTCTGTGTGGAACTTCACATTCTCCCCATGTCTTTGCGGGTTTCCTCCGGATGCTCCTGTTTCCTCCCACAGCCCAAAGATGTACAGGTTAGGTGGATTGGCAATGTTAAATTGTCCAGGAATGTGCATTAGCCATGGAAAATACAGGGTTACAGGGGTAGGAAGAGGGGCAGTCTGGACTTGATGGGCTGAATGGCCTGTTTCCATACTGTAGGGATTCTGTGATGTGGAGGTACGGATCTGTGTCATACCCACAGAGCTTTCACTTGTGGAGCTAGGCGTCATTAATAAGAGACAGTCACCAACAAACTCAATTGGAAATTCACAGCGAAATCTTTATAGCCAGACAGTGATAGGAATTGTGGAACACCACATGGTGTTATTAAAGTGAATGTATTTGGTGCAATGAGTAGCTAAGTAGATAAGTACGTGGGGAAGAAAAGAGTAGATTTTTTCAAACAGAGTTAAAAGTAGAGGAGTTAACTCATTTGGAACAGAAGTATGCTAGTGGAGGAAGCTTGATACCTGGACCCACCAGTTGGGCACTTCCTCCCTTCAGTATTAGCAAGTGTAGGGTTTGAACTCGCAACTGTCTTCAAAGAACAAAGAACATTGTTCTTTGTAACTGTCTTGTCAGTACTGACCAATTGATCTCTCATAGGTTAACACTGGACTGGCACTAGTGTTGTGCTTTTCTCTCTTGCAGTGCACTTATCATCTCTCCATACACTCAGTGGTTATCTAAAATCTCCAACACAGATGTCCTGATTGCACCTATTGGAGCTGGAGGAGTGGTGACAGTGGACATGGGAGGGCATGTGCGTCTGTGGGAAACTGGATTTGATCATTTACAGCGCTCCTTGCTGGAGTGGAGGACCATGATTGGACAGGAGGATGGACGACCCCTACAGGTAGAGAACCATTTACAATAACTTTAAGGATTGACAGTTAGGAGACCAGCCTTGTGTTGCTGCTGAAAGGAGAAACAAGAATTTGCACTTTTACAGCACATTTCCAACCTCGGGTCATCTATATGGCAGCATTTAAATCCTTTTGCTGATACTCAATAATGCACTGATGAAAACACAGCAGCCAGTTGAGAGTACAGCAAAATCTTACAAACAGCAATGCAACAATAACCAGATTATTGTTTATAATGATGAAAACGCAGTTACCTGCAACATCAGGCTAGGCTGGCTCCTTGAAAAGACAGTTGGTCCCACATTCCTGCTCTTTGCTTATAACTCTGGCTTTCTGAAAGCGACTCTGTGGCAATCCTGTTTCCCCACTGTCTTTCTCTGTTCTTTCTTATTCTGAATTGAGCTGATACCCAGGTGAGGTTACGGGTTCCATCAGTATGTTTGCAATTATTGTTACAACTGCATGATGTCACCTTTTCGGCTACGTTGGGCATCAGATCTGAGCATGAAATCCAAATGTTGTGACCCGACTGGACATTAATCAGAAAAGGAGACATTGTTGATTCTCCACTCCCCAACTCTGATGGGGGACAACTATCCCTGTGCAAGCTGAATCTTGGAACCTGTCACAAACTGGGAACCCTAGCCTGTTATCCATCTAGAAATTACTGGAGAAGCTTGAAAGACCTGACAGCATCTATGGAGAGAAGGCAAAGTCAACGTTTCGAGTCCTGTTACCCTTCTTCAGGACAGTTCTGCTGTATTCTGAAGAAGGGTAACTGGACCTGAAATGTTGACTTTACTTTCTCTCCACAAATGCTGCCATACCTGCTGGGTTCCTCCTACGATTTTGTTTTGGATTCTCAGCATTCGCAGTTCTTTTTTCTGTTATTTACCTACTCTGTATGCTTGGGCTAGTCATTCCTGTTAAACTTTCTGAGCTGTTGCTACCTTCCCCAGTGCAGTACTAGGAGAGCGCTATGTTGTCGGAGGTGCAATCTTTCAGATGGGAGGTTAAACTGAGGCCCTGTCAGCCCCTCAAGTGAACCTAAGAGATCCCATAGCATAATTTTGAAAAGGAACAAGAGTGTTTGCCCAGCTATCCAAGCCAATATTGATCCCTTAAAGAAATATTGCTTAAGAAAATTACCTGGTCATTATCACATTGTCTTTTTTTGTGGGACCTTGCTGTGTGCTAATTTACTACCATGAAACATATGAAACAGAAATTACTGGAGAATCTCAGCAGGTCTGGCAGAATCTGTGGACAGAAAGCAGAGTCGCTGTTTCAAGTCCAGTGACACTTCTTCAGCTAAGAAGAAGGGCCACTGAACTCAAAACTTTACCAGTATTTTCTCTTCCCAAATGCTGTCAGACCTGCTGAGATTCTCTAGTACAAAGAACAAAGAAAATTACAGCACAGTAACAGGCCCTTCATCCCTCCAAGCCTGCATAGACATGTTGCCCGTCACAACTAAAATCCCCTACCCTTCCGGGGACCATATCCCTCTATTCCCATCCTATTCACTTATTTGTCAAGATGCCCTTTAAAAGTTACTATAGTATCTGCTTCCACTACCTCCCCTGGCAACGAGTTCCAGGCACCCACCATCCTCTGTGTAATTTTATTTCATTTGTTGGGGAGATGATGGCCTCGTGGTGTCCCTGGACTGTTGATCCAGAGACCCAGATAACATTCTGGGGACCTGGATTCGAATCCTGCCATAGCAGATGGTAAAATTTGAATTCAATAAAATATCTGGAATTAAGAGTCTAATGATGACCATGAATCCATTGTCGATTGTTGGAAAAACCTATCTCATTCGCTAATGTCCTTTAGGGAAGGAAACTACCATCCTTACCCCGGTCTGGCCTACTCTAGACCCCAGCAACGTGGTTGACTCTGAACTGCCCTCTGCGCAATTGGGGTCGGACAATAAATGCTGCCTGGCCAGCGATGTCCTCATCCCGTTAATGAATAAACAAAAAATAACTCATGTTTGTGATGCGAAGGCTGAAAGTCTCCAGCAGATGGCATAAGATGTCTTTTTCAGACTCTGATATGATGCGGTACAGAAATACTCATTTTCCATTGTAATTGTAACCTAACACCATTCCAACTAATTACAGATCCCTGTATAGCAACCTTGACTTCACTTATGTTTGTTTTGGAATTCAGTAAATGAATATCTCAGTTACAAGTAATTTAAGTACAATTGCAGTTGTGTTTGGAAACTCCTGAGACATTTTCATGTTGAATTAGACGAAGCTTGCTGCCAGATAGAGGAGGGCAAGTAAGAAATTAAAGAACAGGATGGATATGTTAATCTACTCCCTGTGCCTGTGTCAGCATTTCCAATGAAATGCACTTTTTGGCCTAAGAAAAAGGTGATGCACTGTGCAGGATACGATCTTGCCAAGACATTATATCATCTACCCTGTTAGCTAAAGGAAAAAAATGCCAGGATGATTTTACAAAGGAGCAGTAAGGGGAGTCTTCTCTGGTGTCCTGGTCAATATTTAGTTAATAAGCCATATGCATGAGGGACTGTAGTATCTCTGTCTATTAGGGAGAGACAAGTAGTTCCATAGCTTGAGAGGAAGCACGCAGGATCAAGTGTGGGGCAAGGTGAGGAGTGCTGCTTAAGGAACATTCAAACATATGACGTACGACAGAACCTGCTGAGCCATTTAGTAAGACCAGGGCTGTTTGTTGTCCAAATTCCACTGTCCCATCTGCTCCCAATAGTCTATGATTCTTAAAGCTTGGACAGAAAAAGCGATGGCTTTGCAAAGGCAAAGACACTTACAGGCCTTCTCTTTGGCCAATGATCATCTGTAAGACAAATGGTTGAGAAAAGGCTTAGCTACGGATCTGGTTGTCAATGGATCTTACATTTTTCAGAATGTTCTGCATGTGCTGTAATACTCATACCTCCCCTGTTTCTTCAATAATTTAAAAAAAAACTTTTGGACACAGCACGTAGCTGTTGCTGTCCATGGCTGTTCCCATGTCCTGCAGAGCAGCTTGTGACTCTGAACTTTTCCAGCTGAGCAAGGTAGATTTGTAAGCCAGCAAAGGTCCCTGGTATTCTGTTTCTGGCGCAAACTTCAGACCACACATCAAGGCCAGCCCTCAGCAATAAACAGCCAAGGGTGGGTGAATTGTCACTGATTCCACACAAAAAGCCTTTCACTTGCTAAGTGAATGCTGGTGCCCTGATGCCTTGAGCATGGGTGGTTAATTCCAAACATAAACTAAGAATATTTTTAACGAAGAGAATCTGACTCTGCCTGCAACTCATTTGCAGAAGTGTGGGACCCCTACAAGGCCCCACCTGTCAGTGAGAGCTAGCTTTAAGATAATATGAAGCGAAAACCTTCACTGCAGCTTCTGATTGATTTTCTTACCAAATAAATATGGCAGTTCCAATATAATTCTTTGTAGTAAAGTATTTTCAAAAGTTTCTGTCATTTTACTGTCATCCTCTTTTACGCCTCTGCTAAACTCACTAGAAGTTTACATCAGGTCATTGTCAAGTTACTGTCAGTAGGACCTCACTATTTACAAATAGACTGCGTCATGCCCTACATTATAACAGTGAATATACGTCAGAATTACTTCATTGGATGTAAAGTAAATTGAGAAAGGGTGCATGACGTAAGGACATGAAAGGCTCCATATAAATGCAAGCCCTTTTCGTTTTCCAATAAGATTAATATTGTTATCTCGACTCATGTTTTCAGCTCATGAGCAAATAGCCCTCTGAAAGATGGTATACTGCAGATCACAATCAGGAATTTATTAGGAAGTTAAACCAAAAAGAAGTAAAAGAAAATCTTCATCATTTTCCTTTATCCTTTCAAACAACTTGTGCCCTTTACCAAACAGTTTCTTATATAGAGTCATAAAGTCAAACACCACGAAAACAAAGCCATTGGTCCTACCGGCCCATGCCAACCATTGTCCCACTAAACTAGTCCCACCTGCCTGTGTGTGGCCCATTTCATCCAAACCTTTCCTACTCAAATACTTATCCAAATGTTTTTAAAGCATTGTAACTTTACCTGCATCCACCAGTTCCTCTGGAAGTTCATTCCACACACAAACCACTCTTTGTGTGAAAAGGTTGCCCCATGTCTTTTTAAAATCTTTCTCCTCTCACCTTAAAATATATCCCAAGTCTTGAAATTCCCCACCTACGGGAAAGACATCTGTCATTTACTTTATCTATACCCCTCATGATTTTATAACTTCTATAACATCACCCCTCAACCTGTTACGTTCCAGTGAGAAAAAGCCCCAGCCTATCCAACCTCTCCATGTAACTCAAACCCTCTGTTCCCAGCGACATCTTGGTAAATCACTTCTGAATCCTCTCCAGCTTAATGATATCTTTTCTATAACAGGGTGACCAGAACTGGATACAGTAATCCAGAAGAGCCTCACCAACATCTTATATAACCTCAACGTAATGTCCAAATTCCATTACTCAAAGGGCCTGAGCAATAAATGCCTTAGTGACCACCCTGTCTATGTGTGATCCAAACTTCAAAGAATTGCATACCTGAACCCCTAAGTCTTTCTGTTCTACAACACTACCCAAGGCCCTACTTTTAATTGTGTAAGTCCTGCCCTTGTTTGTCACCAAAATGAGAATATGAGCGAGATAAACTAATAAGTTCTCAGATACTAAATGGTTTCAGTAAACTCCAAGCTGTAACAAACTAGACAACAGTGAACAGCTTATTGCTAAGTCCATGCTGAATGGTGCTGTTGTATCATTTTGGCAGTACTCTCACCCACTTTATTGACAAACAATATTCATAGGAGCTGCTGATTGTAACATGTACACATTCTTGAATTTTGTAGTCGGTGTGTAGGCCTGATTGTGAAGCTGTAAATTTGCATGTAGTGAATAACACTTGTTACATTCATCACTTCACCAATAACATCCATGTCTTAAAGCACTAAACTGGAATATCCTCCC